TATGGCTCACTGAGCCATCAGCGATGGCTATTATCAGCGTACTAGGTAATTTATTTCTAAGAACTGCCATGCTGCTTTTTCGCTTTTTTTTTATTAAAAAAAAAAAAAATCCCAATCCCAAAGCCCCTCCACGTGTGCACGTGCTGAGCCCAAGCCAGTGAACCTGGCAAGGGGCTGAGCCCGCTGGCTCAGCCTTCGGAGCTGCCAGCCCCGCGTTTGGCTCAGAGCAGCTCCGCGTCCCCCCAGCTCTGCCCGCTGTGAAAACACGGTTTTGTCTGTCAACAAAAGATCCTTTGAGATGACGGGGAATCTTTTCAGAGTGCGGCTTATGAACTCTCTTCGTATTTCCAGCAAAAGGTTTGTCTTTGAAGCTTACGTTGCGTTGGGAGTCAATAGGATTTCGGTTTTTAAGTTACTTAGGGGGTTCCAAAAATATTTATCCAAGGCTGTGCCGCTGTCTGCTAATGATGAGATTAAACATCCTGCGGTTTTCCTCAGTAGATGAAGGTTTGCTTCGGAGGTTGGTGTGTTTTTCTCCTTTGCTGTGCACATTTTGCTGTACTCTCGTCCTTGCCTTTAGCGCTGGCAAGTGCAGGCAGTTTGGGAGGTGCTTTGGGATCCTTAAAGATGCAAGACCTGAAATAAAGCATGTAGTATTTAGGGGTAATGCAAGGTGCTGCATTCACAGCATTGCTTCTAATTATAGCCATTCAAACCTCTCATTTGCAATGTCCCGTTATGGTAGTGCTTATTAAAATAGAATCCTCTTTGTAGTTTGGTAGAAAATTAGGAGAAAAAAACAGCAGCTATCCCATTCCATCCAGTAGCTTTGAAAGAGGTTTACCTTCATAACTTGCCAAATCAGAATATTCCCCTTGTTTTTACTTGCAGTCCTGCTCTGACTTTTTAATGACTTACTTTGTGCCTCTTGGTAGCCAATTCCCAATGACCTTTTCCGTACTTTATTTTAATTTCTGTATATAAATGGCAGTGTTTGAGCTGAAGACAATCTTTGGATGCAGCAGCAAAACCCCATAGAGAAGGAAAAACAGGCCAGACATTTTCCACCTGCATTCGGAGTCGTCCTAGGGCTCTGGCCATGCAAAGCCAATACTTGCTCCACTTCGCAGGCTAGGAGGAGGCTCCGACACAGGAGCTGCACCACGGGCACGTGGTTTGGGATCGGGGCCAGACCCTGGTGGCCAGGACCACGCTGTCGGCATCTCCAGGCTGTGGCGCTGGCTGCAGCCGCTCCCGCAGGTTATCCCTGGTTCTGGCACGGCTGCTGTGCCCCGGGAGGGCTGAGCAAGTGGTTGCAGCTGGCCAGAATATGGGTCTGCAGCTACTAATGCTGATTTTATAGCATTAATGTGCACCTGTTTTGGTGGCCAACTGGCACCGTGTTCAGCCTAAAATGTGTATGTAAGGCCTGTATTAAAAGAGGCATAAGAATTAGCGTGCATCAAACATGTCATTAGACACGTGCCTGATAGACATAATGTAGGATAATGAACATGATCACAAGAATAAATTAATAACTGAAAATATTTCTTATACATATGCACACTTAAAACAGGATAAGAACTAAGTGACACTTGTGTCACCAGTTTATAATTAAAATGCAGTGCTTGAATGAAAATGTAAGCTTCAATTAGCCAGCACGACCCTGCTTCCGGCTTTACTTCCCACTGAAAAGCAACGATAACAAGCTCACATTTATTATCAGAGTTTTTTCCTGGAGCTGTGCACTGAAACATGCTCACATCTGAGCCCTTTCACTGAAGACATTTTTTCGCTTCAGCAGTTTGGCATGCCATACAAAGGCTCTCTGATTTTTCGTGATGTTCACCTCCTCTTACATAAAAATGTTTTCTGTGCATATTATTTGGTTTTAGTTAAAGTCCAGGTGCACGGGTTACTGAAGAACCAAAAGGATGGCTCATCACATAGCACAATGGGTAATTATTGCTGAGCCTCACTGTATTACACAGACAAATCCTTTCTTGGAGCTCAGCATTGTAGCCGTGTGAGAGAGAAAATACCTATAATCTAGCCCAAAGAGCTACAAGTGTAAGAATAGATCCTCTGCTATATGCTTTGCCCATTTAATTTTTAACTATCCCAAGGGACAGAGCTTAACCATTTTGTTTAGATACTATTTTGCATTTTAATTTTACCAGTGGGAAGATACTACATACATAAATTATGAGGTCCCCTGTTATCATCCCAAGAGTCTTTCTAGCTAGGCTTTTTGTAAAATGGTTAAATAATTCTCTGGATTTGGCCCGTGTTTAGCTGAGATTTATCTTGATGATGCAAGACCCAAAGTTCAGCACTGCGCTGCCTGAAACTTGAGCTTCCGATTTCTTCCAGGCAGTCGGCTGTGCAACCTGTGTAGGTGAGAAGAAAACCCAGGTGCCTTCAAAGAGCAACTCTGAAATGCATGTGCTGGGTGGGGAGCTGCCTACATCACCTTGCAGGGGGGTTAATACAGCTTGGCTCCTGCTCATCTGTGTAATTTGGTTCCTTGGTCAGAAATAAGAACCTCCTGGTCTAGGACTTACCATCCTGATAATGTCCCTCATGTCTTGAGGACATGCAGTCGGTGCTTGGGTGGGCACTCTTGTACCCTTTACATTGGTCCATGTGCATGTGAGGTGACAGGAATTGGAGTCCAAAATAAGCACAAGGAATGCCTTTCTTGACCAGTGCTTAGGGCAGCTGGTGAAAGGGATGCAAACCTAACCAGCCCCCAAATGGCAACATACAGCAGGAGAGCCCCAGAATGCATGTTTAGAGAATATTTGCTCCCTGATTAAGCTGGGCCCTAACGTCCACTTGTCTATCCTTTGCAATGGTCCCTCCAAAGTTTAAAGCAATTTCTATGGGCAGTATTCCTGCAGTGTTGGTGTGGATGCCCAGCTGGAGTAGCTCAGCTCCCAGCAGACATACAGACTTAGCTTTGGGTTGGGCAGCAGTTTGTGGTGTGGTCAGAGCCCCTAGGGACTCTTCTGTCGTAACAACTGCAAACCTCCTGGTTTGTCACCAGTGTTATTCTCATGGGACAGGGTGACCTCTCCAGAAAGCCTTTCCAACAGCAGCAGCAATCGCTCTCTATAGCATTTAATAACTAACCATGGAGAAAATTACACTCTATTTAAAAGGCCAGGAAAATCATCTTCAGTTTAACTCTGCTGACTTGGGGAGAATTACACCAAAAATGAGTTTTGTCTGATGTCCTTTCCCATACTAATGTTTAGTAGCTGGACTGAAAAAGCCTTTCAGAGGCAGATAAACAAGTCCAAATGGTGAAATATTCTTTTAATTTTCCTTTGCACACGTTATTTTAGGTGTAGCTTGGAACACTGCCCTTACGAGAGGCATCCCTTTAAATATTTATACAGCATCAATATGTAGCCACCCTCATACGTTTTTAATGCTATGTTCCTTCCTAAATTAACCATTAGGTAACCCCATTCTATAGCTCTCCATATTTCGTGCTGCCTTTACGCTACCCTTGGAGTGTTTTATATTTATTTCACGGCGGAACAATGAAGATGTCAAGGCAAGGCCCAGGGGCCCGGTGGAAATCGAATTCTTGGAGCTCCTCCACTGTTGCCATGGTGGACACGCACTCGGCTGCGCGCTGTGCCGCTCCGCAGGCCGAGGGGATTAAGAGCCCGGCTCCACCGCTGGGCCGTGGCCATTCACCACAGCTACAACAGAGGGTTTTCATTTCTATATTTGCAGCTCCCAGGGTTGGGGGTAGGAAGTATCGAAGCAAAACCCAGCAAAGAGGTGGTGGTGCTGCTGATGGGTAGGAAGCGCTGTCTGTGTGCTGAGTTTCTCCCTGGGAGCAGCAGTTGTGTCTGGTGGGTTTCTAGATTTTCCAGAGGTGTTTCTCTTCCACTGCCCATCCCTTGGTTTGTGTTCATTTGTATGATGACACGGTATGCTGAGGTGATTAGGACGAAGAGCCGTACTGTCAAATATCTTCATTATTTGCTCGGTTCTGATTCAGGCTAAAAACCTGCAGATGAGTAGAAGTGTTGGCACAAGCTCCTTCGTGTGGGTTTTTATGAAGGTGGGGTTTCTGACTCCTGTTTAATTATACCACATCATCGTAGCAACGTGGTTTCTGCAGAAGCTGCTCGGGGTTTGTTTCCCCTCTGGTTTTCATCTCTCCTAAGGGGAGCTAGGAGATGGCAGCCCCCAGAGCCCAGAGCCGAAAGCAGCAGCAGCACGCCCCAGGCATGGTGGGGAGATTCCCCTCACTAAAAGGAGGTGTCAGCCAGCTGGGCAGGGCTTCCTATGGCCTGTTACACTGAAAGAAAGAGTGAGATCTCCCTGCATGCAGCTTCCTAAAGAAAAGTTGCACCTTTTCGAGCTGAAATCCAGCCTTCCCTTCTCTTGCCTGCTAGCAGGGCCTTTCCCTGTGTCTGTTTTGTAAGCAAGAGCTTCAGTGAAGACAGTGAAGATTTTGCCTGAGGATATGGGGCTTGAGGAGCTACTGAAATGCCGTTGCCCTGGGTCGCTGTGTGTTGCAGACACGGGCTGCTCCACGAGCACACCCCTGCCCACGGCACAGAGCTCGCCTCCTGCTGAAGACACTGCTGAATCAGTCGGAGTACGGATGTCAGTCTCCTCTGCCATATAAGAGGCTTCGAAAAAGCACAGGGCTGTTTTCTTATCTTCTGCGAGCCAAATCTGGTGTGATTGGGCTCCAGCCCTGGCTTGGTTTGCTGGGTTTCTAAATGTACGGGTAAAGGGATGCTGTTTGCTCCAAACAAAAGCCGCCTGGGTTTGGCATTCCTGCTGTGTCTCTCGCGAAAAGACGCCTGGCAGCGGCTGCACTACACTGAGATTCTCTCCTCCAGCAAGGGAAAATTCTGCAGTTATTGAGGCTCTTCCTTGGGTTGCAGCAGTAATTTTTACTCCGTGTTTGCTGCAAATATGGTTAAGCTCTCTCTGTTTTGGAGGCAAGCAGTCAATGCATCTGAAGTGCATACTTGACATATGCTTCTTTTCACATGCTGTCCTCCATTCGTTGCATGTAGCAGATGCTCCGTTTACCACTTCAAATGTATTCTTATTTACTAGAAATTATTTTAGAAAATAGCTGTTTGGAACTAAACATTTCCAGCCCTTCTCCTGGGTGCTGGGAGCTCCTTTCTGCAGCTGTCCTGGGTGGCTACATGCAGATGTTGACAGGTTAATTTGCATTTGAAGAGCGGGCTGCAGAGAGCTAAGCAAGGCTTTTTCTTCCCTGCCTCTGAAGCCAGTCACTTAAACACTCCATGCCAAGTTCAGCCCCCGATGCTACTCTTTTTAATTAACTAGAGCAACATCCAAGCTGAGCTTGGCCCATTGTTAGCTGCCCATTTATGCCAGGGTTGAATTAAGCCCCCTGACTCTGTAAAAGAAAGGATTTTATTTTGCAGATTGATTGTACAACAGCAAAATGCAAGGACGGTCCTAACTCACAGCGAGGCAGTGTGCACAAGCTGGTTTATCTGATTTCCACCACATAGACTTGCTCCCAGAAGCTGCAGGCCCAAAACTTCCAGCTGAGGGCTCTGGTTTACCTGGCTGATACACACCACTGGAGCCAGAAATGTTTAGTAAAAAGGAATTCCTGCTATCAAGAAAAATGCACAGCCTGCACTGCTTGATCCTCCTTCCTGGAGAGTCTGCTTTCTTGTATGTGTTTTGTTTTTTTGTGTGCATTTTTTTTCCCCCTTTAAAATGAGATTGCATGAATGAAGACTTTCAGCAAAAAGACACAAATTTAGACTTGAGTCTCTTCCATCGATAAAGAAAGGCACAAGTTTTGATCCACAACCCTGTTGTCATCCTCTAGAAGCTGTTGCTCCAGGCCTTTCATGTACGTGATCCATTGACTCAAAACGTGATTTAACAGAGACCAAAAACTTCCCTGCTTACAGCACATGGAAGAGCTAACATCCAGAGGGCTGTAGCACTGTCACAATCGAGGCCCATACACTTTGCTTCCTCTTCATCTTCTTTCCTTTCCTTTAGATGTTACAAAGCTATCAAGGAAAGACGCATCCAGCAGGTATCGGAGCACTGAACTGAATCTGCAGAAAAATTGAAAGGCATAATTAAGGCTGTCTTTTTTTTTTTTTTCTTTTTACTCCCTCCCCCCCCCCCAACATTAATTTCACTGTGCTTCTGTGCTTCCCTGTCATGTGCTTCTAGGATCAGCTGTGGGCAGATGCTGCTCTCACTTCTCCCCCATAATCTGGATTTAACAGTTTTCCAGTTTCCTGCTGCTGGTCCTTTTATATCTGCAGCTGAAACTGTTGCGCATCCCCTCTGTCAAAGCTGCCATGGGGACAGAGTTGCCTATTTGAAATTTGGCTGTTTCAACATCTATGCACAGACGTTACAACTCACGCTAATAACACACTGAACTCAGGTTGCACTTCGGAGCATTAGTGGCAAAAATCTCTCTGCTTGTAGCAGAGCACAAATTAATTCATCCCCCAGAATTATGCTTGGGTGCAGTCCATTGGACCACTGGCACGACGTGTTTTCTTAAGACGAGCGTTTCTTCCAGTCCATTTGTGTCAGACAAGAAGCTTTTCTTATAGATATCTAATTTTTTTGTTTACAACAAAATAAGGGGAGGGCATAGGCATGAAGAACTCTGCTGTTAGACAGATTTCTGCATGATTCAGGTACCCATGGCGACATGAGATCACTCCGCATTGTCACCGACACAAGAACATTACCTTATACAAGAATAACTAAGAACAGAATTTTTGACCTTCAAGATTTTCTTATCTAGAAATATTATAACTGGATAGCAGCACCACACAACTTGTCAACCAGAAGAAATAAAAGAAAAATAAAACTAATTTAAAACCCCACAGTGGCAGTGGAATAAATTCATACATTTATCATTTCAGAGGTTCCCATTGCTCCTGCAACTTTTCCTGCAAGGTTTAAGTTATTAGATTTTTTTTAAACACTGTGTTTACTCTCCTAAGAATAGAATACAATTTACAGAACCTCATAAGGATGAAAAAGCATTTTCCTTTTGTGCTTTAGCTCACACAGTTAATGCGCACAAACCTGCACCTTTTAGCTTTCCAAAACCTCACTTCATACTGACAGATGGAATTAATTCAGTATTTACAAGTTTATTTCAAAATCCTTCAGAGAAGAACATTTATTATTTTTACTTAAGAAATGCCACACGTCTCAGGGTTTGGGACAGGACTTCACCTGGCTGATCCAAGGGGCACGTTCTTCACAGCACTCACACGTGCAGCTGCTGCTGCCAGCTCTGGGCACAGAGAGATTTGGTTGAGGAAAGATCCTTACGGCAAGGAAGTGCTGGAGGAGGATCTAAGCTTACCTTAGCAGCTGGCAAGAACCTAGGAAAATGAAACTCACTATCATCAACTGCAAGTATTGCAGGTTTTACCTTTGAAGGCAGGGAGTGATTTTTAAGCAGAATTTTAACTCACACGTACATGAATTATTTCTAGTGACTTTCTGAGCAACAGCAGCCTGTGCCTGGCTCAGATTGCACTTACACAGGGCTGGTGTGTGACCGAGCAGCCTGCTCGTGCCAAACTTGTGCACACTCCTGCTCCAAATACCCCCATGGGTGCAGTGCCACAGCCCAGGGACTGTGCTCCTGCTGTCCCTGTCCCCAACCCCAGCACAGACCAGCAGGGAAAGGCTGCGGTCTGGGGCCCAACCACCTCACCGAGGCCTGAGCCATGGTTCATCACCGACGAAGGCACGGGTGGAGGCGAAGCACGGTCCCCCGGGAGCACGGCGGGATGGGGACGCGTGACTCAGGCACAGCTGAGTCACAGCCCCCCGTGGCTTCTCCTGTGATGGGAACGGTTCAGGCACCACCGCGCAGTCAGGATCGCGCTTGAAGTCACGATCCAGATCGCTGTGCTCTGGAGCATCGTTTGCTTCGCGGGGAGAAAGCGCCTTTTTGGAAAGGAGGCAGCACTGGGGGGAAAGGAGCTCCCAGGTTTCCACACACAAAAGCACTGTGAGGGAAAAAGGGAATAAATAAATAAATAAATAAATAAATAACCTTTAAACTGCACAGGGACAGTGGTGTCTCTGCTGGGCCCCTTGGAAGCCAGGGGAGTTGCACCTGCAGAGCGAGAAATTCTCCGGGTCGCAGGACACGTAAGCTCAGATCGCCCAAGGCGCGTGGCACTGTGTGCAGCAGAGCGTTCACATCTCCAGGCAGCACAGCTCCTCTGCTCCACAGGGCTTCGGAGCAGATCCCCAAAGATGTAGGTGTTGCTGTGCCTAAAAGGTAGAAGCCCAGCTTACAAACCCAGGTACCCTGCACAATAAACGACAGCAAAGAGCTGAGCTCAGGAGCCGGACCCCAATTGCGATGGAGTCCAACCCTACAAACCCACAAGGCCGGGGTTTGGGGCCCATCCTAGGGGATGGCCGTCACTTTGGGAATCACCTGGATGGCTTGTGTCCCTGGGGGCTTGCTGGCTGTAGAGTTAAATGACACCTCCAGATCCTCGCCCTCCAGGAGGCTTTGCAGGCCCACAGCCTGGCAAATCCGCTCCGTGGCTCATTAGTGATCTGTAATCACCGGGATGAGTCTCTGAGAGCTTAGGAGAGAAAGACCTGATGTGTCGGCAGCGCTGCGTGCAGAAGAGCTGCTGGAGCTGATAGTTCGACACGCCGAGTATTTTTAGAGCCATCCTATGGCGCAGAATTTTTAACTTCCATTTCACAGACCTTGAAGCCTGGCAAACTTTCATTAACATTTGATGCCTTGAAGTCATGCAAGGTTTGGGGGAAAAGGGAGGGGAAAGAGGAAAAAGAAACCTTTCTGGAGCACGTAGTTTGCAAAGTTGTTGTGGAGCTTAGGAAAAAGCCTCCGATCACCCCTCTTCATGCCAAGTGCTTTTAAAGTGCCTAAACCACCCAGAGAGCAAAGCCAGAATCCCAAACCATGGCTGTGTGGGAGAGTCATGATTAATTAAAAGATAATTTATGTTAACATATTAAATACCCGGGGTATCTCTGGCCCCTGGGGCTATTCAAGCACTTTATGAAGAGAGAGAGACCCACCTTGAAAGGATTATGCCTCTCTTCTTTGCCCACTATTAGACAGCTTTGCTAATATAGGGCTCTTTGGCCCAGAAATTCCCAAATTATTTATAAACCATCATGCCTACATACTAGAAAGGAGAACCTGAGACACGGAGCAGTAAAAGGTTTGCTGATGGGAAGACGAAGCTTCAGCCTCCCAGTTCCATTGCACCTGCTGCCATTTCTGCTCAGCTCAAAGTACAGTTTTTCTACCCAAATTTACACATGGGGAAAACAGTTCTTCCCTGGCTACAAGGCAAACTTTCAATGGGAAAATAAATTACTTGAAACTTTATTTCCACACACACACACCCCAATACACATTTATACACACATCTACATCTCTTTGCACACAACCGAGATTTCTCACAGGCTGCAGGAGTGGGAAGAGGAGACATATTTTTGTCTCCTTGGCAAAAATACATTGGCAACATATCACTGAGTTGTAAAGATTGAGTAAGAACCAGAATGAGGCCCCAATAAGAGATGTGGGTGTTGGAAAACTGCCCTTCGTTTGCCTGTGCCTCTCTGCCAGGATGACTGCGGGGAAGGGGACACGAGCTGCTGGGGGGGCTCAGCATGGGGACCCCGAGTAACCGTATGGCTGCTGTGCAGCTCAACCCTGCGTCACGCCAGATGGGTGTCTGAAGGGGAGAGGAGTCGTAAATCTCTCCCTGAGCATGGCTCAGTTCCCAGGCGGCCAGAGCCGCTACGTACCTCTTGGGAGAGCTTGCCAAGGTGGCGAGAAGCTGGTCCTCTCCTGCTTTCAAATCTCAGGAGGAAACGTGGTCCCTGGGATGCTGTAGTAAAAGGGCAGGCGCTAATTCTCACAGGTGCAATGCTTAGAAATTCAAGTCTAATTAACACTCAGCCCTACCTAGTGGTTTCTGGTGGATGCTCCATACTTTTAAGGTGCTGGAGGGAGAAGGAGCGCTGTGATGGAGCCAGTGGCACAGCAGCCTCAAGGCCAGGCATGCAGGGCACTTGACTGTTGAAAATTCATCCCAGCAAAAGGAAAACTTCTCAGTTTTCTCCTCCCAGCTGTGAACCTTCCCAGTCACTTCCATGCCATCCTAGGACACAAACAGCTGCAAGCATTTCCAGTTACAAGGGGAGACATGCCTGATGCTGGTAAGGGCTGGGACTTTCCAATACATTATTTAAAATCCAGTCTGAGATTCCAGATTGGCTTGTCCAGAGCTACTCCCACCATTATCCTTCCCCAATACAGGTAGAGACATTGCATAGTAAAATGCAGTCTGAAAGTACTGAAAGAAGGAAGAATGGAAACTCAGAATTCTCGACAATAAAATATTCATGCATCTGTGCTTTAGTGCATTGTAATTTTGCATGATATGCTTTGCTTTTCAAGACTGACTAGATTAAGGCACTTCTGATTCATTAAACACATTTTCCCAAATGCTGTTTCTACAAATGTTGTCGGGCCATCGTGCTTAGTGGTATTTATTAGCCAGTGTAACAAGGAACTTACATCTTCCACAAACCTGAGAGAAACCCACTTAAATGTGTTGCTCAGTCTCAGCAGAAGAGAAAACAGTTCCAATGAATAATTAAAGCTTTAAGAGGTCATGCTGCTTTTGCAGTCTCATTTTTATTTGTCACTGTTTCACTTGCATTAGGAAATAGAAAGTTTCGGGCGCAGGATCCAAATCAAATCTCTTCTCCTTGTGTTCATTTAAACAGACCTACTTGGTAGCCATCTCCATTTTTATTTATTGGGTCATTTGTTAACTGTAAGTATTTAAAACAATCCCAGGAATTATGTTTCAGGCTCTTAATTTTCATCAGGCCGTGGCTTTGTGCCTGCCCGCCCCTCCTGGCAGCACTATGAGCCCTGACTAAGGCGGTGCCCGTGCAGGGAGGTGAGTGCAGGCGGAGCAGCGCTCAGAGAGGACCCAGGTTGCCATCTGGTCCCCGTCTCCGCAGGCACCACCAATCTGCCAAGCTCCCACTCTCCTCCTAGGCCCTCTCCTCGCCTCCAGCCACCCACCACCCTCCTCAGCTCTCTCTCCCCCTCTTCCTTTTCTCCTCCCTTGCAAAGCACCCTGCTTTCTGCCCACTCTGTCCCAAAGTGCTCCTTCTCCTCCTCCTTTTTCAGCTCACTCTTTCCTGCCCCAGATCTTTATTCCCACAGAGCTGCTCATCGTTTTCTCCACCCTCGCAAGGTCCCCCTAAGGGCACAGTGCCTGCCCTGTCCCATACGTGAGGTGGCCCAGCCCACAGCTGCACCCTTCACCCTCCCGCTGCTAACAGGCCTTTGCCACTAATAGCTCATGCAGACGGTTTTGAAACCTTTGCCTTGAGTTTCCCAAAGCCAGCCATCAGCAGGACCTGGCAGTTACACCCCCTTTCTCCTAACCTTTAGATTCCCCGTTGTCATCATCTGCCTTGTTTCAGTCCCGCATCACTGATTGTGCATGATCAATCTCTAGAGGTTTTGCTTCTATGTATAACTCAACAAGCTGGCATAGAAACGAGGAAGACATGCTCCAAAATGAATGCACATCCAACTCAAGGTCGCAGCATTATGAAGACGGGCATATTGCAAGCATTGCCTTCATCTACAGTGATTTATGGAGTGAAATATCCCTATTGCTTCTTCAATATCCAAATGTTTTTTCTAAATGCCATCATCTTATGACTAATCTCCATGGACTGAAGAGACACTGGAAGATTACCTGATTCCAGGAGTGTCCAAATATTCTGCATATTCCTAAAATTAAACTAATGAGCTCCTTTATACTACTTTCCAATGTAATCTTCTCTTTTTTTTCCATGAAAAACCTTCATGGTGTGTGAACAACCTGCTCCCACAGAGCTGAGCAAAGAAGATCCAGAAGAGTTCAGTTCCAGACACAAAGTTAGAGACATTCACTGCTGTTAGAGTAGACAATTGCTGATTGTAAGCAGAGAAGTAATTACGTGCTGCCCTGTAAGCGTCTGCTATATTAGGAGATAGCTTAAGAAGAATCAATAATATGAACCATTTTCCTAATGACTAGATCTGAAGAGTTTTCCCATTACAGAAGTTGTCAGGTTCATCCTTACCTGAAACACACACCCCCAAGGATTACCGGGGTCCTCGTTTTGGAGAGCTGTTTCTTAAATTTTAGACCTCTGTATGACAACTGCAAACCCTGTCTGTTGCAAAATGAAGAAACCTGAAAAAAGGCTTAAGAGGATCTATGATGAATCAAGAATGAGAAGAGCTCAAGGCTCTATGTGTCTGAAAGTTGAGGTGGCAGAAGATACAGGGGACAAAACATCACACACATGCTGGGCATACTTCATCTAGTTCAAGAACAGTATTTATTCCCCAGATGTGATCTTGACTATGTCTCAAATTATAAATTCAGCAGGGACTTTAGTGAATGTCCATTTCCTTAAATTTCTCCCCCAGGTAGTGATAAGCCACAATACAGGCTTTATAGACATGCTGTGATTGTAAGAGGTGAGACCATCAAGCCCTGGTTGATCACCATGTTAATGAGGGAGAACTGATGGCATACTGAAGTAAGGGAAACCAGATGGATGAAAACCAAACTATCCCTTAAGGGAAACTTGATTCCAATTGTGCCAACACAGGAAATAAGCACAGTTTGACAATGTGAAAATAAACACGATTTGTCATTTTGCAGCATATGAACGCTTCATCAGACAAAATGACTATCTGTTCTCAGAATTGCATCCGGTAAAATTTGGCATTTCAGCCCTCTTGTAATGATTGATAGACTGGCAGCAATCTGCCTGAATGAGCAGCCTTAGTACCAGTGAATGTATGCCAGGGTCAAGAGCACTGGGGAGAAAAGTAGGTTTGGGGCCAAATCTAGATGCATCTGAATTGTAGCTAGCACATAGGCCAGCACAGCTGATTGCCTGCTGCTGTCTAAGGTGTTGGAGCTATGATGGCCACCGTGTAGTTACAACTGTGAATAACAAGTCTCTGATGCATTGTGCCAAAAGCACTATTGATAATAAGTACCTCTTTAAATTAAGGCATTTGGGATCAGAATGTAATAAAGAGCAGGAAACTCCTTGGAGATGGACTTGCTGGGTGAAGATGCTCACCTGAGAAGCCAACGCCAACCTCTGACGTGTTAGACCAATTTTAGCCAGCTACAAAACTCTAATGGGGGTTTCTATCCAAGCTCCAAATCATTTTAAAAGAATAATTAGATGAGCCACCCAGAAGCAGCTTTGGCAAAGCAGCAGTGAAGCAAAGTACGGAAATGAGTGGTGAGACAAATTTCTGGGCTGCCGGGCTAAAGGACTGCCACATGAGATGCGGGATGAGACGAGGTGTGAAGGCAGAACACAGAGAGTGTGGGGCGTTGTGGTATGTAGAAAAGCAGACGTAGAAAAGTGAGTTAACAGCCCCATGACAGCTAGAGACGTTGACAGTCTCTTGGGACCGAGCCAGGCATGGGAACACTCGCTGTGGCAGGGCTAACAGCTCTGATTCTAAAAAGTTCCTCAAACACCGTAACCAACATTGCTCCAAAAAAATCTTGTCATACCCAGGATGGGGAATTGCCCCTATTTTCCTGTGCAGATATAAAATGCAACCTGAACATCAGGGCTGAAAGCATATCAGTGATTCTTCCTAGAAAACAGATACATTCTGTCAGTAAGGTCCATAAAAAGGAGCAACAAAAAAGACTAAAATAAGCTACAGAACCCCCTAAAGCTTCCCCCAATTTGCTGTCCAAGAAGCAGCACAGAAGGATATAGTTAATAAGGAAGAAAACTGCAAAAAAAGCAAAGAGTAGTAAGAAGGCTGTCAGCATTGTACAGGAGTTTCTGGGGTGGAATAATCCACTGCACTATTTCATCTGCAGCTTGGCTAAGAAAAGGCAGCTGGGAAAGGAACAGGAGCATTGCTGAATAACCCCAGTCATGACTTCTGTGGCCAAAACGCTGGCTTATGAGAGGAACACTCGAAGAAAATGGAAATGAAGTAGCACAAAACAACGTGTAACATACAATCAAATCTTATCTACTTTGCTGCTGTCCTGCATTTCCCTGATACTATTGGTATTCACTGTGGTAGTACAAGGACACTTAGTACTTTTGGCAGCAGTTTTGTAATGACTGAAGAGAATTCAAAGGACAGCAGCCAGACACTGTGATGTGTTTTATTAGCTCCCAGATGTGCAGGTGAGGTGAATCTTCGGGAAATGAGTTTCGCTGCCACAGATTTCCTAACATCACTCAAGGTCTCAAATAAAATCTCATAATGGAACAAAAGGCTGTCGTAGAATTTTAAAGAAGTCCTTGGCAAAGCGTCATTTCTGCATCTGTTCATGTTGTATACAGACGTACAAATCCACAACATCTTTGATATTTACCCAGCTGAAAACAGAAGGTCGGCTGCTGAGGCTGTGTATACCCACGTGAATTAAAACCATCCGAGCCTCTGTAGGCACTTGCCTGGATGCCTTCTGGCGTAGGTACTCCAGGATCCGGAGATGCTTTACTGGGTGGTATTCAGGGCATTATGTCCTGGATTGCAGCATGAACAAGTTAGCTCAATGAGCAACTAGAAGTGACCACACAACAGCAGGTGTCTTCACCACCCAAGTGAGGTGTGGTCTCCTGCATGCCTAACTTCTTTGGGCAGTGGTGAGCATCACCAATGTCTGGAGGACATCAGCTAAGATGCCACATGGGCCATGGGAAACTCAAGGGTGTTAGAAGAGAACGGGGTGGGTCGTGACACAAAGGCCACCGTGCCCAAGCAGAAACCTTGCCAGTTGCTATTTAGGGCTTTGAAATCGGCACCTAAGTCAGCAGAGATGGCTCTTCAGAAATGTGGAGCATGAACTCTACTGCATTGTGAGACTGTTGCAGAAAAAAGCAATGCAAGAAATAGAGCAGCACACCCTTCGTTCTGCAGGGGTACGGCGAGAGGAGAAGCTGTGAGCTGCCTCTGTTTCCAACAGAGAGGGCTTTAGCTGGGAATTGTAGAGGAGAACCAAGAAAAGGCAACAGGATCTGACAGTGCAGACAGGCTGGTGAGAGGAGATCGTAATGTCCTGGAGTAAATACTGGTGGCATAAGGCAGTCTCTTTTCTCATAGCGAGTGTATGATAAATGCAGAGTGGAGCATTAATTACTGTAGGGAGGTAAGAGAAGTGGAGTGAGGCTAATGGTAAAGCAACTGGTAGCTGTTCACATGGCATTGAGGGGAGGGATGAAAAGCAGTGAGCAGTGGAGGGTCTGCAGGCAGCACCGGGGGGGACTGCAGAAGGGGGAAATTCATGTCACAGCAGAAAATAAAAAAATAAGAGACTTGAGGAGGAGTTCTACTTTGCCCACCAGACAATTGAAAATAGATCAAAAGCAGAACCCAAAGGGTTTGTTAGAGCTGACAGCTCTTAAGGAAGAAAGTGGGGCAAATTTCATACATTTCAACGTTTTTAAATCATTCTCTTTTTGCCCAGAAAGTAAGGTAGGAGCAAAGAAAGGGAGAAGACCTGATTCAGATATCACCGTTAGTAGGTGAGACACAGCTCTGAGTCCACAGCACTGAATCGGGCCCTTTATCCCTGCTCCTTAAAAGTTAGCATTTCCGGTCCCCACAATGAGAAATAAGTGAATTATCCATCTTTTTAGGTCCCAAGCATTTTTCTGAAAACAAGACCTACCCTGGCAAAATATGACAATAACCCCAGGTGCTGGCAGTGCTCCTCATCAAATTCACCTTCAGGAGGAAACAAAAATACAAACTGTCAAATGGACAAAAATCTCCCTGACTGTCAGGACTCAGGAGGTGTCAGCCAGCATCTGTCTCAAAAACAAGCTATACTTCCAAGTTTCCAGCTTCACCAGGATCTCGCAACAGCCGAAGGCAGACACCCAATAAATGGGTATTTAACCTCCCAAGGCTTCTTTCTCTGCTGGCTCCATCCTCCTCGGTGATGAAGGCAGCAGTACAGCAGTAACGTGGGGTAGCAAATTCACGCGGGGTGTGTTTTGCACACGATCTGCATCAATACTTCATGATTTCTTCTGCAATAACAGCATTAAGCATCCTCTGGCAGAGGCTCACAGGAGCCCCGCTTGCTCAAGTAACTTAAAGAGAGACCTGTGAGATTGTCAGCAAACAGTGGGAGATGAATCATCAAACTCTGGACAAATTAACATAGAAAGTGTCAATTTACAGGAAGAAAAAATCTAATTCTGTTGCCTGTGGCCTGTGTGGAGAGGCCCAAAATTGCCCCGGTTTGACCACAGGGCAGGTTTTGAAAGTAAAAGGGGGTGCACCACCCATTCCTCTTTACAGCAGTTATTTTGTGATGAGGAATAAAGAGAAAAGAAGGTTAATTCAGCAGCAACATTTGCCATTGTGTGTCAGCCCAGTGAGGCAGAGGGGTTGTGCTGGTAGAAAATCAAAGAAATGAACACAGAGCACTGATAGATGCTGCACTGCAAATTTTGCGGAGAGGAACGTTTTTGGCATGTCTGCTCTTCTTTGCTCACTATTGCTCAAATCACACTGCAAAAGATATCACAACTTGTCAGCAGAGAAGTCCTTCCTAAGGAGACGACCACAGAACTGCTTCTGTTCTCCTGGCAGAGTCCGGCCCTGAAACGCTCTTGCTCACTATAAATAGAGGTTCTCCACTTCTGTCAAGGGAAGCGCAAAGCCATGCCATTAAGGAAACCCAGTCCCGTGTGGCTTTGCTCAGATGGACACTGTCTTCAGGCAACTTCAGTTACGAAAGCCCTGCTCTGCCTGTAAAACAGAGGTACAGGCTGTGGTGCTGTCGGTCAGCCTGCTCTGTGCTGATAAATTCCGAGAACTTGTTATCAAAACACTCAGATATTGCAGTGTTGCAGTAAATCAGGCTAATGGTCTGCTCTAGAACCAAAGCACAGTGCTTAATCACAGAATAAATGCAACAGGCAGAGCCAGTGGCCCAAATTTCCAGTGGTTCCCTGCTAATTGCCTTATGTTTAATACACAGCCTGCTCCTTGCAGCTTGTGTCTGCTGTAACTGGAAACACAGGCTGGCAAATGATCTTGAAAACCATTTCCTTACATATCTTCAAGCCGTCCCAGAAGACCCCCATTTGCCAGAAAGAAATCAGCTGCTCAGTGTGGTTTGGGGCTGGGTGGTTGCTCGGTGTGCCTACCTGCCTGCAGGTAATCAGTGCAGCCACACAACCACTCCTGCCCTGACATTCATAGCAATCGTTCCATCACCAGACCCTCCCTAAGGAGAAAAGTCTGCCTAACTCTATTAATAGTGTGCACGGGTGTGCTCTCGGTATCTGTAGCTGCTCAAGACCTACAGGAATGTGGCATGTTGGCAGCAGAGAGTTTGACCCAAGGAGGCAGCAAATGCCTGGTGTCCTGTGAGAAAACCAGAAAGGCTTCTCAAAGAAATCCCCAAACTGCTGTTTCCCTGCACAGTTTTACCACCAAAGGAGGCGGAGATGGCTGGTAGATGAAATGGTTAATGAAGCAACAGCTCTGCAGAAGCTGTTGATGGAGGAGGCAGCAGCTAGACCCATCTATCCTCATGTGTCTCCCACCGCTATCAGATATCGCCTCCCGAAAGCTCGTGCTCAGAGCAGGGAGATGGAAATTGCTATTGACAGAAGTACCCCGCAGACAAGGTCCTCTGCTGCAAAGCTGCTAGCGTCTTGCTTGGTGAAAACCTATTTTAAATGACAACAGAACACTATGTTTTGGAAAGACCTCGCTGGGTACGTTTTTCAGGATTGGGGGGGTGGGGAATAAAAGTACAGCCTTGACAAATATCTTCAGACATTTAAGCACTCTATCTTCCAGTGCTGATTTGTGCAAACACTTCCAGGGCATCGGGGAATGTTGTCACTGACAAATACTAACCACGGGAAATGGATGTTTGGAAGAAATGGCTGATAGTATGACCAGCAATGATGAGATCATGTAATGCATCCAACATTAGGAAAAAAAAAGTTTAGTCAAGCTTGCATCCTCCAGCATTAAGGATTGCTCTCAGTGATCAAAATGTATAACCCCATCTAACACTTCTGCAACAATACAGGCAGCATTACTGAGGGATTATTTGGGAAAGATCAAGGAAAAGGTGGCATGTCAGCATAAATTGTGATCACTGCTTTGATTTACTGTTGAAAACTCTGTGTACTTGAGATCCCAAACCCCCAAACAAAGCTTAATCTTGATTAGGCACTACAGTTCCCCCCCTTATCATATTATCTGAGTACGTCACATTCTGATTATAGGTATCTGAACACTTAGTGAGGTTGAGAAGTGTTAACCTTTGTAGAAGAAGCCCTTGAACACAGAGCAAAGCCGAGTCAGAAACAATTTGCAGTTTTTAAATGCCAACTAAGTATGCTGCAACCAGTGGGAAAAAAAAATCTTACAGCATCAGCAACACTTCAGAAAATTTGCCTCTTCCTTATCATTAACCCAGATCCTGAAGTCCTGGCTCTGAATGCAGAATGAAGTTATTATTATAAGGAGAAAAATGCATTATAATATTTGTATTTCTAAAAGCATCATTTAAACATATCAGTAATCATTCAAAGAAAGGCATAATACTTACAGCATCTCGGTGGGATGTTATATCTTACTCTCAAGAGGTATCCAGAAGTGCTTCTCAATATTTTAGTACCTGTTAGGCAGTGATTGCAGTTTATTTATCTCTCTCTAGTGGATACAGAAGTACAAGTTAAATATTCCATCTTCCCCTCCAAAGGATTTAAGGGACTGTATCCCCGTTCTCAGGCAAAGAAAAAAATCACCCTTCCACATCACATCCTGGTGTGGAAAATAGCCTGTGGGTGCCTTTACTGAGTGAGGACCAGTCGCCACATTTGTCTATGTATTTTTTCAAGGCATCCTCCATGAAGTCTTTGAGAAGAGCTTCAAGGAGTTCTGACCTTGTGTGGATACTGTAGAGTGGTTGTTAGTGAATTTAATACAAGCATTTCCTTTTTTCTTTTGCATTGTTTTACATGACAGGGCATGGAGCTGGGTATTCCACCAATACTTGGGGAGAGGTGTGCTACTTCTGTATTTAAGTACAAGTAAGATTTTGCTTTTAAAGCTGACCACTGCTTCAACAGCTTCCAGCCCAGCTACTTTTAATTTTTCCCAAATCTGAGTTTCAAAGTCCATTGTTATAAATAAAAAAAAAAAAGTACTGTTACATTTCCTAGCAAAACTTTGTTTCTGGTACTTTGGGGATTTAAAGACCCCTCAATACACTGTGGACTACAAGAGTTCTTGATAGCAACTTCAATCCTCACCAAGAATTTAATAAGCTGTCACTGAGATATGACACCTATTAAGTTTATGGGAAAAAATTACCCAGTCTGTGGCTGGTATTAGTTATTAAGTATTGTAGGCACTGAAGAGAACCCTGATCCATGATCTTAACAACAGCAAAACTATTGGGAAGAATATTTTGGATTCCCAGGCTTTGATACATGTCCAAATTTCACAGCCATTTGTGCTTTTTATGACAATGTTGGCCAGAACAACCAATCACCAAATCCCTAAAAACTGGAAGTGGGAAAGAACTCTCAAGCACCATTACAATTTTCTGTTTGGGACTGATTATCTTTTTCCACCTCTACCAGACTTGGTGATACTCTTCTATGTGAAGGACTGTGGGTATAAAGGAGCAGGAAATAAAGGTCTCCAGCCTCAACACTGGAGAAGCCCAGACACTAACACAACCCATCCTGCCCTGCAGCAGAAGGGATGGCTTCATGGACTCATTGTAAGAGAAGCTCTGCTAAGGGGCCCATTTCATTCAGAAGTTTAATAATATAAGGCCATTTTACAGAGGCCAGCCCCCCCATCAATCCATCAGTACTCTGACACAAGATGCTTGGGGAACGTTTCAGTCTTCTTGTCTCTTAATTGAGTTTCTGGAAGCAGGACATTTATATGGGCTGTCATCCCTGCCTGAGCTCTGGTGTCTGACAACAAGCAGAAGCAGTTGCAGAGAGCTCCCACCTGCTCGCATGGAAGCTGTGGGAGCTCTGTTACCTGTGAAACCTCTGCTTTTCTATCAGCTCTGGAAAAATTAACTAAATTCAAAGTTATTGAAGAAGTGCATACAGACAGAAAGACAGACCAGTCTATATCCACAAAAGCAGAGTCATTGAAAGGCCTGTTTCTGTAGGAAATTAGGGTGAGAAGATGATTTAATTGATTTATTTGTTGAATAGGAGAGAAAAAGTCATATTCTGAATGTATTTCCTCTAAATTAGCCCACCATAGTGAAGAGGCTCAAAGAAATGACCATCCAGTCTCAGGGGCCCTATTACACTGGGAAGAATTTAATTTCATTGTGTGAGCTTCCATAAAAACAAGCGGTGGGATATTTAAAATCTGAATTTCGGATTGCCTTGCTGGAGATCTGCAAGGAGCAGAAAGCAGCCGATGGCAGAGGGACGCACGGGAGGCAAGCGGCAGGAGCAGCGCCCGGCTGGCAGGCTCTCAGCCGCCTCGCGGGCAGCACCAGCGTGTCACTTCCACACCCAACGTGAGCCACTTACGTGTTGTTCACAGCCTTTGAAAAGCTGTGCGGGGAAAGCCTGAGCCGTTCCCACAATTAGAGTAGCTACATCATTTGCTGGAAGAATTAAATGCGCTGTAGTAGCAAACCTGCAGTTGACACTCACAGGGTGCAATTGAAATCCTGCGGATTAGTAATTCTTTTGAGATCTTTGTAATCATTGGTAATAGGTAGTGAAATAAATCCACAGTTATATCCTACAGACTGCAGCTGTGCTTCTGTTAAAGCAGTATTAACTGATGGTTTTTAAATCCTTCTGCCAGCTAGAGCTGTAAGCACTGAAACTCCTGTGCAGAGGATAACTCATCCTGGGTGATGTATGCTCCTGAGCACGAAAGCACTGGTTAATGAATAATGAAAGCACCAAGGCAGAATCACACCTCAGGGCTTCTCTCCTGCAGGAAGCTCTCTGGGGAGACCTCCCCATGCAGCTCACTGCAGCAGCAGACTCAGCCATCAGCTTGCAGCTGAGACCAGCTGCGGCGAGGTACGATCGTGATAGAAAGTAAGACAAAATACTGATGCAAACCTTTATGCAGATGGACAAAGTGCTGAACTTCATTTTGTTCAGCCAAGTGTGGGATTTATCCATCTGATTCCGGTGTTGCCCCATCAGGTCTCAGGAGTGCACGCTCATGGCCTGACTTGCTGCACAGGCGCCCAGTTAACTAAGCAAATATGCCGTTAGGAAATGAACCAACCTTGAGGGGACATAGGGGTTTAAATTGCCGCAGGAAGAGATTTATGGACTTGTTTTCCAAGCCTCGAGAGTAATTGAAGAGGCGTCAGACAGTTCAACGCCCAGCAGCTCTGATAAGGGACAGCAGCACCTCAGTGGGGACCAGCACCGTACCGGTGCCCAGCCTCGCCGTGGATTCCCAGCCCTGGAGCAGGGACCCAGAGTGACAGTCATGCCAGGAACAAAAAGCAGCTTTACAAACTCAGTATCCTTGCAGGATAAGCAGGGCACTAAGAAAGTAAAGCACAGAGAGATTAAAAAAAATCAAGAGAATTATATTAGTGGCAGACTTCAGAAAAAGAACACAGGAATCCTGGCTCTCCCTTCCTGCACTCAGGCTTCAGGCCAACCTGCCCAAAATTTATGACCCAAGAGATGGTTTCTTGATGGCATAAAAGATCAGTGGCGAATCAGTTGCATACGTAAATTATTCTCCACAGAAATAGGAAAGGGAAATAAAGCAGAGCTGGCAGAAGCCCATCGACCTGGTCCTCTTACATATATGTTATGTTTGCTTTGTTTCCATTTAGGAATCTACAAAGGACATTGCTTCCGAATCAACCACTTCCCTGAAGACAATGACTATGACCATGACAGCTCAGAGTACCTTCTCCGTAAGTTGAAAAGTAATGCCTTGTACACAGAACTAGCAGATCAACAGAGACTTGCCTGGGTGTCTCTTCTGTAGAGCACAGTCACAGTCTTATTTATTGCAAGGGCCTGGCCCTCCCTCAAGGACCTTCGTTTTAAGGGTTTCCTTCATCCACGGTAACTTACACAATTGTGGTGCCTGTTCTTTTAAAATTATATGGAAATAATCAAAATGAAAACCACAGCTGTCATTCCCAGATTAGAGAGGATATTTTACAGAGGGAACGTTTACCTGGTTACTGTACTAAAATTGGTTTGAGGAGTGGGTTCCTGCCCATGAGGAAGCTTTTCCTATTGCCTAAATCCAGTCCTTATGCAAGCCTCATCCTTTGCAGCTGCTCTGAGCTACCTCCCCATGCAGTGAAATTACTGCATTTTAGGAAGGAAGCTGAAATTTCTGCAGATAACAGCAAAATCTCAGTATGAATGTGGGCTGTGGCTTCTCTGCATGGGCAGCCAGCCGTTGGTGCTTTGTGCCAGTGTGAAAGCCCTCACAGAAGTTATTTCATCCACCAATCTGGTGCTTGAAATAAGGACAATTGTTCCGTCTTCCCCCCAGTGACCACTCGCTCAGTTGATATGCGACGTCCTGGAACCTGAGTGTGAAACTTCATGAATCCTGCAAAATTTCAGTTAGATTTCCCCTTCCCCTTGGATGCCTTGCCTAGTTGTTTCTTTTGCACAAAAGAGCTGACCAGCAGAGCTGAAAGCAATGCCCTTTACAAGAGAAAGAAACTGCAGTTCACAAGGTGTTGGGAAGGCTTCAGGGAGCAATGAATGAGGCTGCTGGCTGAGACATCCAGCAAAGCAAAATGCTCCTCAATTACACTGCTATTAATTACCTGAAACACCAGCTTAGAGAACCACTCTGTCCTTCTGCTCACTTCTGGGAAACAACTTCAGGTTGCTAAGACAAGAAGAAAAAAAAAATCTCTCTGAAAGAGTCTGCTTACCAGAAAACCTGGATCTTTTTTCATCTTTACTCTTGTCAATTTAGATCAGCTGTAGTGCTTGGGTGACATGATTTCAGTGCTTGGGCGATGGCAGACTAGCAGAATATGAGCACGGCTGCATTTATCCTTCATGTAAAGCCTTGGAACTAATGTGAAATTGATGCCAAGTCAGCTTTAGGAAAGAAACATCATTAGTAAAAGGGACTGCAAAGGAAAGATGAATTAAGTAGCATCTTGATAAAAGTGTATTATGCCTTCTTTATTTAGAGAAAAGATAGAACTGGGAAAAACAGTCTACAGCTGCTCAGTAAGACAAGAGATGGGTAAATTGTTTGTAAGTGTACTTGTGACTGATGATCCTAAAAGCTGTTTTCAAAAGTGGCTATGTGCAAGCTTTAAAAGCCAGTTGGCCCAACCCTTTATGTCTTCTGCAAAATCAGGATCCAGGCACTCCACCCTCGGAGGAGAGCTCACCCTCTATATTCTGCACAGATAGGATTCCCCTGCTTTCACTTCTAGGAAGCAAACTACTGCTTCAATTAAAATGAATACAGTTGTTTTAGAGATTGCTGAAAGGTTATGTACCTAAATCAAAAATAAATGAGGTCATATGTATGTGTAATAAGGACGAAATCATTGTCTAACTGAGACACAGAGGTATTCACATCCCATTTACAGGAGACATGATGCTCTCCTTACCATTTTTGCCCTCTACAACACTTTTGCAACCTGCTGTCCCTGTATCAGCCACCAGGATTTTTAGCCACCAGACTTTGGCAGGGCCATGATGGGGGCAACCCTTCCTGTTCACCTAAGGGAGGTGAAAGGGAAAACTTTGGTTCCTGTTCAGGCAGCCCTTGCTCAGATGAAGGCACCAACCCGTGTGTGCATCTTGTGCTACTCACAGGGCAGCATGCGGGCTCTCAGCCTGCTCCACAGATACTGAGCTAACCTAGACTCCAGATAAGTGTAAAGAGATGGAGTTAGCAGAACTGAGCCCCAGTTCAAAACCCTACTGAAATCAGTGAAAAAAATGCCTGATTCTAGGAGGCTTCCAGAGCGTGGGTAGGAGCAGGAGTCTGGATTTTGCTCTTTTCAGGCTGCTCCCTGCAAAATCAAAGGAACGGGAGCCACGGTGACTACAAACACGTGCAAAGAAGCTTTAACTCCTCCTGCTCAGCTCCCTCAGCCGCCTACCTCCTGCTTTCGGAGGAGAAGGAAAGCGGGAGGAGGGCCAGTGCCCGCAGCCCTGCGGGCTGAGCGGCAGAGCCCGCTGCGGCGCTTCCCCAGAGGTGTCACAGCGCAGAGCGCTGAGCGGCAGCCGATGCAAACAGACAGGACGGTAAACAAGGGGAAAAAAAAAAGCAGGGGAGAGAGCAAAAACCAGATTCCCTTAATGTTTTCTGATGTGCTGTCATTTTATTACCAGTATTGGGAGAAATATGTAAATTCTACAGGGTACCTATGGGCCTCCTTTCAAATTTCAGAGCTAAAAGTCCCCATTGTACCCAAGAGAACGCTGTATGTTTTGTTTCTCTTCACATTAATTACCTAATACAGAAAAAATATCTCTGGAGCATTTTGCTAGATGTAATACAACCCACCCAGTGTATTTGGCATGTCTGGGAAGTCCCTTCTGACAATATCAGTGAAGCATTTTAGGAAAGCCCTTTAATTTAACTAAAATCAGTATAAACAGCCTGAAGATAAAATACAGAAAACAACAACCAGAAGGAGTGGCCACAGCAGATTTTAAGCCTATGCAGCCTTTTTCCAGGACACCAATAGACAGTGATTTGGGGCGCCTCCCTGTCGGGGAGCACAAACAAAGCCTGACATCGAATCTTTGTCTAATAATTGACTCTGAAAACTGACCCAGAAGTCAGAGCACCGTTACCTCTGACTGCATGCAGGGGTACGCCCAGGGCAGCAGAATGGGCTCTTGGCCCTCAGCGGGCTTTGATCAGTGACCTCACATCCTCGTTACTTGGATGTGCCAATTATTGCAAAACACTCTGTGAATAATAACGCGTCTGACGGAGCTGGGTTTAGCTGCGGTCAGAACATGCCCCCTTGGTAAAGGACGCGTGCAGCGCCGTTGCCAGGTTTGGTAGGAGATGTACTTTTCTCACTGTTGCAGATCGATACAGGCACAAGCTTCCCGGGCAGGGACTGTCTTTTTGCTTTATCTTTGCACCATCCTAATGAGCCCTGGGCCTGTCGCTCGGGCTCCTGGGGGCTTTGCAGCGCACACAAAAGCAATGCTGTTATTAAATGCCCAGCCCTGTCCCTCTTGCAGTCAGCGGGAGTTTTGCCACCGGTCACCAGGGGAATCGTTAGAAAGCAATTCACTAAATTGGGAACGCCACGGCCATCAAAAGTAAAATGAGAAAGCATCAGCTGTAGCATCTGGCCGTTCCTCCCCAGGTAGCAGTGCCGCTCACAGTGCGTGGCACCCGGGAAGATGGCACCCGGGAGAGGCCGTGCCGCTGATGCTCCAGATGGCCTTTTTTTGGCAGTTTGCTCCTCAACATGCACCCAGCCCTGGGGATCCCCACATCCTCCCAGTGTGCCATGAGGTTTGCACCCTTCCCTGACACCAGCCTCTGCCCCCCCAGCCCGAGCATCTCTGCCTTGTACCGCTCCTGCTGACGTGCCCCCACATCTCCCCCCGGCTTTGGGGCAACCCTGCTGTCTACAGCACTGTCCTGTACCTGATCACTTCTTCAAATACATCCTCTCCACATGACAGGATAACCCAGCTCCTCTCCATGTAACAGCATAACCCCTTTCAGGAGCTCCTACCAGGTTTTCCCCCTTGGTTTATACAGCACGTTCTTCTCTCTTCTAGCACTTGTTCATCTTTCTTCAGTCCTTTTGTTTCCACCCTGCCGCTTCCCTTTCCATTGTTGCCTAGCCTAGAAATGACCCTACCCTGAAAGCTGGCCCAAAACGGTGGTTTAGGTTTTTGTGCAGGGATTTTATAGCCCATGCTGATGAATGGACTGAAGCATATAGAATTTTAAACAACTCCACTTAGCTGTCAGGAAAGTAAACACAAACATCCAGCATACACGTCTTAAAATCTCTCCCATAGAAATCTGAAGTTTCTAAGTCCTAAATACTCAGCAGGAAAAGAGGGGCTGTTAGCTGTGCTCACCTTACAGGTGTGCCAAGCAGCAGATCCTCTGCTGAGGCGTCCCCAGACATTGCAGCGTTCGCAGCCAGCCCATGAATTTTTCAGTGCCGCTCCCTGCGTGATGCTGGCACTTGCTGTTACTTATCAGCAATGTTCTGGTGGCAATAACACTGGACTTCCTCCTAAAAGCTGAAAAGATTAAAAGTGTTCAACTGAGAGTAGCCCCACTACATTGGCCACCCACCTTGTCTCCCAAAAACCTGCCCAGAAGTGCAGATCTGTGGTAGCTGCAGCTAAAGCCAGGGGTTTGGAGACTTTGTCATCTCTGCACTAGCACCTGAGGAGGTATCTGAAATGATTACTGTCTGTCATGTTTTGCTTCCTATCTCCTCTGCAGGCATCGTCCGTGCCTCCAGTGTGTTCCCCATCCTGAGCACAATATTGCTGCTGCTGGGAGGGCTCTGTGTCGGAGCAGGGAGGATTTACAACAGCAAAAACAACATTATCCTCAGTGCTGGGATTCTCTTTGTTGCAGCAGGTATGTTCTCCTTAAATTGAGTCCTTAAGAAGTGCTGCCTTTTTGGGACTGAAAATGCAAAAGTGCAACTTGATGGAGAAGCCACCAGCCCAGCAAGATGCCCAGCGTGGCCTAGTCAGGGGCAGGGACCCAAAAATACCATGGGGCAATCAGTGCTCTGAGTCCAGCTGGGAGGAGAGGTGGAAGGACACCACCTCACATCCACGGCTCTTCTTCCACTCCCTGAATTTCCTTCCCAAAGCCTAAATTCTTTCAGGGCATTCTCATTGCAGTGGGCATTGTGTGATCCTGCAGCTTTACACTGCTGATCTGCTGATATAAAATCAGGAAATCCCGTTTGTGTTGCTCACTCCTGATGAAGGCAAGCCCAAGGAAAATGATTCAGATCGAGCTTTCTGGCTGGCCACAAGGCTTCAAGGATGGATGCTTCCCATGGAAAATCTCATGGGCAGATCTCTCCCTGTATCCCTTTCCTGGAATGAGAGCATGACCAACATCATGCTAGGCACATTTCTTAAGAAAGAAATGTTTTCAAAGCTCTAGAGAAGCTTTTAGTTTTCTTGAAAAAGAAATTCCAGGAAGCTAAAGCAAATAACATGCAGTTTGTACACTACTTACATTTATTGAACATTAGATAATGAAATAAAAACCTGAATCAGGCAACTCTTATAGCCAGGACCGTTTTTTTCCTCTTATATGGTGACAGATAAAAAATCACCTATGCTAGGTGAGCATGTTTTTCACACTAGAAACATCTGAGAGAGTCAGGCACATTGTTAATAGCCTTCCCTGAAGCTCAGATTAAGCATGCTACATTCAGATGAAAATTCAACAAGGTGGAAGACAACTTATCTTGATCGAGGTGAACAGCCATAGCCCTGAGCTCAGAATGTATTTTTATTACTATTCTGAATGTTAGAAGCCCAACTAACAATATTAGAGAGCTCCCATATGCTGCTTCCTTTCCGCCATGCCAATGAAGAAATGGGGACAAATCCTGCTGAATCTTTTAGAATATTTAGATGCACGTGATGTGGGTATGTTTTTGTTTTTGTTTTTTTTTTTGTTTTGAAGAATAAATGAAATAATTAGATAAATAAAAGAGTAAATAAATGTAATGCGATTTCCTGGTCATAATCTTAGAACCATTCAGGTCCAGAAAGTAACATGGCTTGTATTTTAACTGTCCAACCACATAACAACTGACTTCTGCTTTTCTCTCTCTAGGACTAAGTAACATCATAGGGATCATTGTCTACATATCAAGCAATGCAGGTGACCCAAGTGACAAGCGAGATGAGGACAAAAAGAACCATTACAACTATGGTTGGTCTTTTTATTTTGGAGCCTTGTCTTTTATCGTGGCTGAAACCATAGGTGTTCTGGCTGTGAACATTTATATTGAGAAGAACAAAGAGCTGAGGTTTAAGACCAAGAGGGAATTCCTTAAGACTTCTTCCAGTTCTCCTTACGCCAGGATGCCAAGTTACAGGTACAGGAGGCGGAGGTCCAGATCCAGTTCTCGATCTACAGAGCCTTCTCCGTCTAGGGACATTTCTCCGGTTGGCATGAAGATAGCAAGCACCATTCCCATGAACGAAATTTCCATGTACACCCTTTCCAGAGAGCCCTTGAAGGTTACCACGGCTGCCAGCTACAATGCAGACCAAGAAGCCAGTTTTCTGCAGGTTCACAACTTCCTTCAGAAGGAATTTAAGGAAGGACTCCACGTCAATATGGTCAACAGGAGAACGACACCTGTTTGAAGTACCTTCACTCCTTGTGCTTTCTGAAGAATTATCAAAACAGAACAGATCTGTCATGAAAGAGAAGGAGCGATGTGAAAATACCCTCTCACCTCTTTAATTGTGGCATGTGTTGAGGCAGCAAGTGGGGAACCTCTGGACCAACATAAAGATGTTACACGCTTGTAGCTTTTTTTGAAGCTATTTGGAGTTTGTTTCTTTCAGTTCTTGGTGTCACGAGATGAAGGTAGTTCATGTCCCTGCACTTTTGTAGTGTGTACAAAGTCTTGGAGAAACTGCGAAGGACTTGCCACCAGTGTGTTTAAAGGATTACAGAAGAATTGCTGTATGATTATTTTTTTTCTAAATTGAGATCCCTTACTACAAACTTGCAACTATAATTTATAACCAAGCCCAAGGATGAATACAAACTACTCCTCAAGTGATCCACTTCCATTTGACACAGCGTAAGCTTTGCCTCTTTCCAAAAAAAAAAAAACAAAAACCAAAAACAACAAAAAAAGAAGAATATTTTTGAAGGCGACACTGTCTAAAACTGATCTGTGCTACTGAAACTGTAAAGCATCCGTGTGCTGAGTGTTACAGACTCCCTGACGGGGCAGTAAGGGTCTCCTACCTGGGGGTGGAGGGCATCCCTCGGGGCAGCACGGGTGGGGGACGCGAGGGTGGGTGCAGCGCGAAACGCCTAGCAAGGGAAGGATTAAAGTAGGTGGGACTTGAGCATATTTGCAAACATCATTTCTTGCCTAACATTTAGAAAACTTGAATTCTCATTCCGACTAGCCCTAGTGCCTGATCCGGCGAGGTGCTGAGTGCTGTCTGTCAGGAGCAGGCCCCTATAGACTGCTTACAGCCAGGGCGAGGAGCAGAGCTGAGCCAGGGCGGCCCATGCGGGCACAGCGCCGGTTCCCTGCGACTGCATCCCCAATTTCCTTACTGCTTCACAAGTGCAACACTAACGCTACTGGAAACTAAGATACCTGAGCAATGTGTGTAAGAAGATGAGAAGCTAATAACGTTTGGACTAGCAAAACTTCCTGCAGCAATGGGAACTGAGCGTTAACAGAATGGATGACGACTTTGTATTTTTTAAAGTAGAACAAAAATAATCACCGTTTATGAGATATTTATTAAACTCTTTTTATTATGAATAAGTGCCGCATGGTGCAAGGTATAGTTGCTTTTAGATGGAAATGATGGTTCAGCCTAATTTAATTTATTTTGTAACGATGAATCTACTTATGTGCAGAGAGCCCACAGGAAACTCTATGCATCACCTAAGGGGGAGACTGATTTGCACCCTTGCTTCTGTATGTTTCTAAAAGGGTCTGAAATCTTTTTCTTTCTTTTAAACTTCTGCTTTCATTTTTACATTTAGGCTTGGATTCTCAAAGCTCAAGGGCCTGACTTAAGGTAATTTAATTTGACAGTACTCATTAATTTTAGTGACCACTCGACCAAGCCATATGAGAATGAGGTGCCCGATTCCCCTTTGATGAATTAGGGGCAATGAGAGAGGAGCATCTAGCTCCTGTAGGTTCCTTTGAATATACCTGTAATTTTTTTGTCCTGAAAAACTTTGGTACCAGAAGAGTAGAAACATGGTGACAAGGAAAAAGCATGATTTGGAAAGCTGATGCTGGGAGATATCAGCCAAACTGTTAAAACCTCTTTAGTCTTAATTCACCCTGCAGTGGCAGCAGCGTCACAACGCGGTGGTGATTTGGATGTGAGGCTTTCAGCCGGTGGAACCAAGTCCTCCAGCGAAACCCTGGAGGAGCTGCCTTAACATCCCCAAAAGATGAGCCTCTCCCTCCCAAGTAACCCCTGCTTAGCCCTCTCTCCATGCAAGAACCAAGACACAATTCTCAATTTTAAGTGAAAGTCTTCCCCTACTAGCTGTTTTGCTCAGTTTTGCCCTCAGCCTGGCAGAGTGGCAGCATTTCTTTGGCAAACCATCCAGCGGAGGGGGGCTGGAGCCTTCATCCTTGCTTGGTAAGAATTTCCATTCAGGTTAAAACTCTGCTGGGATCCTTTTTCAGACCTCTGAACTCTGAGAGCTAATGCGAACGGAGCAATGGGAACTATTTAAAAGTAGAAAATGTTGTGCTACTTTCTGTATCAACACACTATGAAGAAAGATATTACACAAGCTTTTTAAAAAAAATCAAACAGAGGCAGATGAGAAAACTGTTTTTTACCTACTTTTCGGCTAGGGCAACGTAAAAGAATTCTAAAATTATTAAAGTTCTTGATGAAAGGTTTTTTTTACAAGAATCTTTATGCTTTCAAACAATAAATTATTTCCTACTTTTGGAGACTTCGTAATATTAAAATACTTTGATTAGCTATGATAGAAGTAGAAGTTTGCAATGAAAAAACCTTCTGTCTCATTAGTGTGTCATACTAAGTGCTAATTAATTTACATCTAATTATAGTCAATGTATTTTTCAAGTGCAATTTCCCAGAACTGTTTGTTTCCCACTGTGTTAATAAACTAATAGTTAGAAATAAGTCCTCATCCGTGTTTACTGTAATTAAGAATAAAACCATTCCCTTTAAAACCAGGAGCTAGATATAGGCTGTTTTTTCTAAACTCTTGTCCATTGAAGCGAGAGCGGATGGTGCGAGGTTTGCTTTGCGCCTTGGCTTTGTTCTTTGAGTCACCATTTGCCAGTGAATGTGTTTAAAACCACTCGGAGCAGGGAAGTGCTCCCAGGGTGATGCTGGACACATGGCCCGGGCAGGCAGCAAGGGTGCTGGGGGTGACGGGGAGCAGGACGTGTGGCACTGGGGAGGATGGAGGCTGCGATTTCATGTCCCGAAAATCATGGTCTATGTCAAACTGCAGCATGCTGTTGTTTCATCTAACAACTAGAGTTAAAAAAAAAATAATCAAAAACTCACTTTTCCTGTAGAAAACTTTGGTCCTGACAAAGCTGAAAAATCTGCAGTATTCGTGACGTGAAGAGTAGTGATGTATCTGAAAGGAATAGGATTGTTCTTGAAATCACACAGTGACAGTTTACAAAAAAATTCTGCTATTCCTGCACATCTCTTTGTTCATCCCTGGACAGCATCTAACACAAACTAGCCCCAGTTTCTCCATAAGGCCCGCAGATATCATCATCATATCGTTAACGATATCAGGTCTTTTGGTAATAGCCTGTAACATGCTGTAACAGCAGACCTAAGAAGAAATGCTATTGGATCAGATTCCATTTTATAAGAAAAAAAAAATAAAAAGTTTCAGGTATACAGTCAGCCCTCTCTTCCTGGTTTCTTACACAGAATAGGAGTAAGACAAGAAATCACTTCATATGCCCATTCAACTAACAATAAACTATTTTTATATTTCCTTTCCTTTCTGTATGGATCACATATCCACAAGGGCTAATATATCACGTCCCTTGAGGTTACATTTCTGTCTGCAGTTCTAAAGTGTTATTGCCACTGTGCTTCAGTTCTGCTGGTGTAATCACAACCGTGTATAATGTACTTAATCCTTACTTTTTAAATAAACCATTTTAAATGTATTTGGGTTTGTGTGGAGAAAGGTATCTAGATTTTTAACTTCCAGATCCTCCGAGCTGTGTTTATTTTTTCACATTTCTATCTGTTTTGATTGCAGCTGGTTAGTATTACTGGGAGAATATGAGAGAAAACAATACTCTTGTGGTCCCACAGACCAAGGAATCTCCAGGATAAGCTACCACAGCATTTCCAGGCATTTGGGTAGGAAACCCAGGAAAAAACTTCTATTTTCCAGCTTAAGCATGGCCCAAATGAGACACACTTTGGTTAAGGTGCCTGCTAGGTGTCTCCTTCAAATACTTCTTTTAACTTTTCCTTCCCATTTCCTACACCTCCAGACTAACGAAGAAGGCAGCGTGCATGCCTGTGTCCTCCTGACCTGTGGCACGGCCTGCCCAGACGCCTCTACACCCAGACCTGGAGCCACTGAAAGCTCAGAAATACATGGGATTTAATGAAGAGCGATGTTGTTCAAGGGAGAAGCACAGGCGGAGTCCTCGTGGCTCCAGAAACTGGAAGAAAAGAGGCCAGCGAGGAGGATGTGGCATTTCCTGAGGACCGAGAAAACGAACCAACATGGGAGGTGCTGAAAATAAAACAGACCTCTGCACCTGTCTGCGGGGCAGCTCGTCTTACGGCTTCGCCAGAGCTGCCGACCAAAAAGGCGAGTGCTACCAAAAGACACCGAGCCTGCAGGGAAGCCACGGCCAGCCCCGTGCTCGGTGGGACCTGTCCTGCTGAGAGGCAGGCTGGTAGATGGGCAGGGGGCTGCTTTTTTTGGATGGCAAACCAAAACACACACAGGTTTTCCTCTTTCCTTCTGTGAAGAAAGGATTTCAGCCCCAGATTTGCTGAAACTGTGTTTGAGCTCAGAACATGCCCAATCTGCTCCACCCTGGGTCATTCTCACCTGGTAAGGGTCTTCTTGCTCTGCAAGGGGGCTGCAGGATTTGGTTAGGCTGGTTGCGGGAAGCAGTGAGGTTGGCCTGGAAGAAATACAGAAATGTGCAAATGTTGGGGAATGGAGCCAAGCCAACGCCTCTGCCAGGGATAAAACAATGCAGTGGCTGGTCTTGGGACACCTCATGTAGCATTTTCTCCAGTGGAGAAACACAACCAACCATGCCTCTCTTGCTTGCTGCTGTTAAAGTGCCACTAATTACAACCCTCCCTGCTTCCCAACAGGTCCTCATTAATACTCTTTTCATTTTTCATGTGATACAGATTTCTGAATGCGAATACTCACCAGCTGAGGCAGAGAGACTGCAGGAGCTGCTCCTCAGGGATGCTGTACCGCCGTCTTCTGGGTGTGCAGACAGCCCTGGGGGCCTCCTATAGCCTGCTCCTCTAGAAATCAGTTTTGCCAGACATTTTTGCCAGAAATCCCTCATGAGTGTAGGGAGAACAGAGCCTGTGGATGCACAACCCCACAAAAGACATCCCTGGGTTTCTCTTCCAGGGATGGGTGGCAGCAGGTCACCCTTTGGGGCTGGGGATATTTCTCCTTAGCTGCAGTGATGTGAGGTGTCAGTCTCTTGCACTGAAGCTCTTTCAGAATTGCACACATTCGCTTTCATTTTAGTTGTTTCTTGGGTACATTTAGGAAATTCAAACAAACAAACAAACAAAATAAATAAATAAAAATAAAATAAAAAGCAAACCCTGAGGAATGTTTCCAGGTCAGGATACCTGAAAGACAGCAGAAAGCATGATCCTTGCCAACACTAGAAGAGACACAAAAACCTACACCAACAAAAAAACTAATGAATTCCCACCCCTGCAGTCCTTGTAGGTTGTAATTAATCTAAAGCACGATCATTAGCACTTGCTTCCTCAGCATCCAAAGCCTTGCTTTGTGCCCACATTTGCAAACACTTTCCATACTCAGCTTGCGGAGGATCAGTGGAGTTGGCAGCACCAAGGAAGTGGAGTCAGGATGCGGCTCCCAGGATGGACTGACACCTAGTGAAATTTAACAAGAGACTACTTCAAAAGAAAAGGCATTACCATTTTTATGCATTCCTTTTCTATTTTAACGTCTGTTCCCTTTAGGCTTTTCCAGTTTCATGTGACCTCTTGGCTGTGATTAAGGAAATAGAAATGCAAGCCTCTAATATTTCTCTCTGTGTGACATCATAATTTTTTTATGCCTCAGAAAGCACAGTGGCATCAACCACTTGAAACACAATTCCTTCAGCCAGTGGGTAGTGTATTGAATGTGTACAACCAGCTCTGGAGCATCCACTTTTGGAGCAGAAGGTCCTTCCTCTGCCTGCTACAATTAATGCAACGCGTTGCAAAGCACAGGTCCCCACCAGCTGTTTGCACATCAGCGGTGACATTCAGCTGATCCCAAAGGAAATAACCCCAGGGAAAATTGCCCTGCAGAGAGCTACTTGCTGAGGAAAATGTAAGTGCCAGGGGCTAAGTGGGAGTCAGGTAAGGGAGAAAGGCCCTCAGCACCTTGTAATTGTAATTAATTGCAGTAATCCCTTGGTGCCCTCCTTATGGTGGCACTGTTCAGTGCTCCAGCCCTGCCCTGCCACTACCCCAAATCGGTCTGTTACTTCCAGTATAAAACCAGCTTTGGGAATCGGCACAAATGCTCCCCTTTTACTACACTCACCTTTCACCCTTCACTCATTGCTTTGGATTGTCCTCATTAATTAGAGCTCCTACCACTGCATCTGTATTTTGACCTCAAATTGGGGTGTTCACAAAACAGCACTCAAGCAGCTTTGACATTATCTTGACATGATAACATGATATTTGCGGATTTCCACTGACATTTTTTAACCATTGTTTTGACATTCAGGTGCTGTCACTCTCATTAGTTTGACATTGCAATTGTAATGTCACCTCCACAATAGCCTCTGCATTGACTTTATCATCAAATTAGTTTTAAAATCACCTGGAATATTAAAGCAAAGGAGAGAGATTGTGTCCAGGCACATCTGGGTCCCAGGGAACAGGAGTCTTTCCTAAAAACAGGCAAGGATGTGCCAGGCAGCCACTGGAGTTGTTTTACATATTGAGGCAAACCTGGGTGGTGGGAAAGCAAGCACTTGAAAGATTTGATATTAGAACAAAATATGCAAAAGAAACAAAAGGAGAACAACAACAAAAAAAAATGAACCAACTGCAAAAATAGCAAAAGTTGCTAGCTTCACCTCTGTGAAAATTTGCAGTGTTTTATTTCTGTTGAAGCCTTTCCTGCATGGGTACAGCAGAGGGTTGCTGTCGGAAAGGGTTTTTTCAGTTTGCAACCTGGAGCTGAGTGCTGTGGTCAGGGCAAGGCGAACCCTACAGGGAAGGGGGAGCCCTGGGGACAGCACAGTCCTGGGAGATGCAGAAGAAACGTGAAATGAAATCAATTCTGTCAACAGTTCCCAGAGAAAAAATAAGGAGGGAGGAATGCCGAATCATTTTGATCCAATGTTCTCAAATGGAAAATGTTTCACTTAAATTGATGAAATATGTTCTTGCAATACAGAATCAGAAAATCATACAACAGTTTGGGTTGGAAGAGACCTTTAAATATCACCTAGCTCCAACCTCCCTGCCATAGGGATAATATCTAATATTATATATTATATACATGTTATAATATACACTATAATATATATATATACATTATAATATTTCATAAGTTGAACCTTAAATATAACAAGAGCAGGGTCTAAAACCTTTAGCTCCTTCTGAAGGGAACCAAAACACACTTCTCCAGACCACTCAAAATACCTTAGGTTAATTCAAAATTGAATGTGATTAAGAATAAACAATACAATGAATAAGTTAGCTTATTTTGCCGTGGTCTTTATGCTCTGCCCTTGTGCCAGTGGCTCAGCTCCAGGCAGACTCCCAGCTCTGAACCTCTCCGTGCAGGAATGGCCACAGTCTGCAGGCGGTTTGTAGGCTCTGGCTCTGTTATTAAGCTATTTAGGATCAGACTGAACTCAGTCCCAACGCTATTATAAACACAGATGTTTTAGAACCTAGCTGAAAAGTTAATCATCCTATCAATGCCTATTTCTGGGCATGCTGCAAGTCAGCAGATTAGAGCCTTTTAGCGGCAGTGGTAGCGACTCTGAAGGAGCACCCGCCTGGTCGTGGGAATCCAAAACAAACGCGGGACGGGACGGAAAGCTGAGCTTTCCTCGTTACGTGCATTAATAGCCTCCTGGCTGGAGCGGCTGACACAGCCCAGCAGCTGGGGCTGACATTTGCAAAGGCTCAGACGTGCCAGCACTTCGGGAGCCCTCGCGGGGCTGCTGCGGGCGAGCAGAGCGGCCCCAGCCCCGGCGACACGACCTGGGAGTGGTGGTCCCAGGAGCCCTGGCCTGAGGAGGGATGGACGACAGCAAATCCCTGAAGGTGCGGCTGACCTTCTGCGTGTTGCTGGTGGGCGTCTCGCTGCTCTTCGCGGCCGTAGTGACTGACCACTGGGCCGTGCTGAGCCCCAAAGTGGAGAATTACAACACCACCTGCGAAGCGGCTCATTTCGGGCTATGGCGACTCTGCAAAAAACAGATTTATGTGCAGCAGCAAGGTCCCAAAGAGAAGGGCTGCGGGCCCATAAGTCTGCCAGGAGGTACGTACAGCCCCCCACACCCGTGCACGGGATGTCCCGCCAGGCTTTGCTTAGGAGGCTGCAGGACGGGGCGGAACCAAATACGTCCCGTGTCCCCGCGGCTCGCAGTCTGGCACCGGGCTGCACGCTGCTGTGTTCTTGTGCTGGGCTGTGGGTTCACCTCGCTTCCCTCCCTCTCCTTGTACCTCTGCGTGGTGCTGCCTTGCACGTATGTCTTTGAGTCATCAGCTCCTGTGCAATGACAGGGGAGGGTAGAAGGGGAAAAGGATCAGACACGGTGGAAATCAGAGTGGAATCGGGATGGAGGAAATTTCACTGATATCAGCAGTGGGTATCACAGCACCCAGGCATGCTGATGGCAGCGGGCAAGAGCTTTAGCAGAAAGAGGATTTAAAGGAGTGGCTCTAACAGACATAGCTGGGTCCTTAGGATTTCCTGATCCCTGCATCCTCGAAGCCTGCTCACAGCCAGCAATAGGTTGCCCCTGAGCTATTTCAATAACGATCATTTCTCAGGGCAGGGAGGAACAGGGAGCTGCTGGATGCATTGCCAACTTCCAAAAAGTCACGAACTGAGCTTCAATCCCTCATCAGCTTGCTGCACCCCGGACCCACAGGGGTGGCAGCCTGGCCCTACCCCTTTCTTTCTCCATGATCTCCCAGAGCAGCCGATGGGGAGCGGCTCAGCTGCTTACTGGGAAGCCGATGGCATTCCCCTGGTAAAAGCAGCTCGCTACGTGCACGGATCGCAAAGTCAGCACCGCTCACACCGCGTGCACCAACACTCCCCATCCGTGACTGAGCCGCGCTGCTGTTTTAGAAGACTAATAGGGAACTGGACTCCTTCCAGAACAGAAATAACAGGATTGCCTTCACGCTAGCCTCGCTGCTGGAAATAAAATATATATGTTAGCACATGCTTGAAAATTTCCTGCGAAAAACCTTGCTGCCTGTGCTTGCTGAATGTTACCGCGATTCTTTACCTATTTGGCCAAATTATGTATTCTGGAGAGAGGAGCTCAGCTGCTGCATTCAGAGCTGCCTCTAACCAAATTTGGGAGTGTGTCATCCGTGTGCTTGATGTCTCTCGCGTAGGTACTTATGCGCCTGGAAACATCTTCTGCCTTTCCTCGCACGGAGAGCAAAACTCCCACAAAAGGAAAATCATAGAAATTGGTTGATAAACACCCAAAGTGCACAACTGCAGGGTAAATATAAAGCTCATAAATATCCAGCTGTCTCCAAAAAGCAGCTTTGCAGCCAGGGCAGCACGAAAGCAGCTCCTGGCTTTGACAGACATCAGCATGTGCTATCACTGGCATGGGTCACGTCCCGGCACTGCCTTTCTGCTGGGCACCACAAACAAACGGCTGCTCGTGGAGAGGCTGAGCCCATACAAGAAAGGCTGGTGTGGTTCCTCAGTTTTTAAAGATATTTTGGAAGTTAGATGGTGTCCTGTGTCAAAAGCAGCATCTGAGGCTTGAAAGGGCATTGCTTTCTCACCTCTGTTATAGAATATTTTTAATCCCCATTCTGCTCAGGCGGAAAACCCCACATGGGGAGGTGGGGAGGGCTTGGTCCCTGCAAGTCAGGGCTGCTAAATGCCGCCATGCCCGCACGGTATGTGTTGGATTGATTTCACACTTCTGGGAAGAGATATCAGGAGGAAAACAGCGTGGCTGTGAAACCTGCAGCGGTCAAGAAAATGTGAATGAACCACCAGGGAGCAAAGGAGATGTGGACATTTGTTTTCCTGAAAATTGTGAGATGTAGTCAGACATCACTGCCAGGACTGGAAAAGAAACATCAGAATTTATCACTGCGTTAATAACCATTTACCAGTCACTCCCTGAGAAGGAAATGGATGGCACGATTAGCATTATTTATTAGGTTTTGAGCTCAGCACAGTGCAAAATGTGCAGGATGCATTGGCTTGCAGTCCACAAAGCAGATCTGTGATTTAGGCAGAGCTTTTAAATTTTACAGCGCTCTTGCGAGGATGCTGACAAATTGGAAAGGGTTCAGTGTCCTGCTGTAAGAAATTAAAGGACCGGGGGGATGGCCATTAAAACTGGGAAAATTCAGACAAATACGGTGGTCAGTGGCCCACTGGGGCACTTTACCACTGAGTGGGACATGGTTCGCATCCACTGCCAGGCACTCCAGTGTAAGTGTTGTCCTAAAATGTGTGTTCCTGTGCAGCAGTGGGGATGTTCTATAGCCAAGTGTGCTGCAGGCAGGTTAAAGAGGACCTTGTAAGTATGGGAACAGGGGCTCAGGGAGATGGAGACAGAGAGGAAAAGTACTAGACAGAGCTGGCTGTTAGCAGGGCTGTCTTGTTGCCTGTGTCCATACAAGGAACTCTCTTTGCAAGACTGGTATGAAGTTAAACTATCCCCAAACTCTGTTTCAAAGCCCTTCCCCAGGCTTGTTGGCCAGCTCAGAGCCCAGGGCCTCCCCCTCTGATGCTCAGTCCCCACCTTGACACCTCCTCCAAGCACAGCAGCAGGTCCTGCCCCCAGGATTACCACAAGTGGAGACCTCAGATTAAAAGCATCGCTCATCCTGGATTTTCTCGCCATCCACAACACTGCTTGTGTCCATCTCAGATTCAGGAGCAAGGTGTGCTCCAGCCCCTTCCCAGACTGTCACTCTGACGCTGGTGGGTGGTGGTTGCCACCTGGAAACCCTGCAGGCCCCAGACATCTCATGGGCTCTCAGCATGTCCTTCCCCTGAGGCTCAGCAGTAGTTCAGTGCTGTGCATTTCTGCTGCATCTCGTGGCTGCAGTAGGTGCCGTGCAGCCCCACGGTGGTGAGCAGCAGGAGAGGCAGGCCCTGCATGAATAAGGTGATGAATTGTCCCGTTTCCCCCTTCACAGTGGTCATCCAGGAGTGATGAATCTGAAGGGAAGGGGCCAGGAGGGCTGTAAGGGCAGCTGACCTGGAACGGGGAGGACAGTGTGTGATACAGCACACGTTGTGTCCCTGCAGTTCACCGCGGCCTCAATGACTGCCGAGCTCCTGGGTTGGTCCCATCAGCACACGGAGGTGACCCCGTGGCAGAGAGAATGCGATTAGGGGTGGAGAGAAACAAAGATCGCCACAAAATTTTTATCCATTATAAAACCTATTTTAAATCCTATCCATTATGTAAATGTGCTGTGACACAAATGGGCTTTTCTCTAATTCATGATGGCACCAGAGAGGGACTGAAGTGCCTTGAATAATAGGGAACCTTGTTGATATAGATATTCCCAGCTCAGCAGAGCACCAAAAGTGTCTTTAAACTGAAAACAATATATCACTTCACCAAAAGCAATCTGGCTATATTTTCCCACATCAAAATGCATTTTCCAAAAGCACCTTCCCCAGAGCTAACCCACTTATATGATAGCCACATTGATCACACCTTTGCAGAGCTGTGCTGTCAGCCACAAACACAGGGGCAGCTCCTTCTGCCAGCAGTCTCTCTCTGTCTCAAAGAGATTTCCATGTGTCCCCCCTCTGCTGAGCCTTTGCAGACTGGAGGGTGGACTGGGCTGTACTGGTTTATCTGGCATGGCCACACACATGCTGCAGCCCCCATCACACCATCACTGATGGCTTCACCTCAGGCTTTGGATAATCAGCATGCTTGGGGCTTCCTTTGACACCAGCCTTTTCAGGGAGTTAATTAAAAGCCAAAACAGTCAATCCAAGATGAAGCATTTCAGTTTCATCCCTCCTCACTCCCTTTTAGCACAGGAAGAAAAGGATCCCCAAACTGAGGTCACCAACCTGGACACTCAGCCACAGGCACCACTCAGACACTGGCAGAGGCACACAGCCTCCATACAGCCTCCGGTCTGAGCCTCAAAATTTGCAATTTTAGATATTGAGCTCTGAGTTCAACTACGTTTCCTCCAGTCATTTGCAGAGTTAATAAAGAACAGGTCAGGAGACGCCAGAGCTGAACATTAACCTAGTCTCCAGCAAGGAGAAGCTGCAGATGAAATAAAAGTCAGCTTTTAAAATTAAGTAGACAGCAGCATCTCAGAGGAATCTTTCACTAATGGGCCCAAAAACACTGCTTTAGAATTGCCCTGTCTCCTGGGAAAGAGAAAGTAAATCTTGAATCAGTAACTCTGAAATCTGCCATTTACATGACAGAAAAAAAAAAGAAAAAAAAAAAAAAAAAAGAAAAAAAAAAAAAAAAAGAACCTACCAGGTAACATACAGTGCTCTGGTATCTTCTTGCCATGAGAAACTAATGCTGTAAATAAACAACAGATGCTTTCTGTGCCCTCCAGGCAGAGACCCACAGCACACCCTGCACTGGGGCTTTGCTCAGGATCGGCCCATGGCTGCAGCCTGTGCTGGGGCAGCACGGAGGGGACATTGGGCAGGACCACAGAGTCCTCACAGATTTCCTCCCAGCACCTCCTGGAAGATAGCACTAGCTCCGTTATTTAACAGACAGGAGATGCTGGAGTTAACAGTGGCCCCTTGCACACACACGGTGGGTATTTCGTGCAACCTTGGCACGATCCCCATCTCATGGGAGTCAAACCAGAGGGTGCCGGAGCGGTGCTGGGTGGTGCTGAGCAGGCTCTCTGCAGCCCAGCTTGGCAGAACAGTGCAATCAGAGCTGGCGCTGTGCAGCGTGACTCTGTGATTGCCCAGCTCCAGCCAAATTCCTTGTGAGCAACTGTTCTCCCAGCCCCGTACCCCTCCAAGTTTTCAATTAAAGAGGTTATAAATAGTGAGGACACCCTTCGTCCTCACCCCACTGCTGCCAAAGCTTCGAGTCACTAAGTGGTGGCCAGACCCTTCCCCATCCCACTGGGATGCTGAAAGCAGAGCTGGCTCTGCACATGCAGAAACACATTTCAGTGTGGCTGAGGCAGGAGCCCAGATGTCAGAAGGGACCTTTGGAGGTCATCTGGCCCAATCCCAGCTTAAGTGGGATCACCTGGACCAAGCTGGCCAGGACCTCATCCAGATGGCTTTTGAGTATCTCCAAGGCACCCCAGCCAATGGAACTTTATACGCCCAGCCCCGAGCTGCCCTGCCATGCCAGGTCTTTCAAAACAGCCCGAGTTCCGTATGCTGAGCGTTTTGGTCCTGCCCTGTGTCTCATTCAAGAAAGCAGGTGCAGAAAGCAAAAGCCAGCGAGAAGCTTCATTCTTCTAATTTAAAGCCTCAAGATTTTCTTGACTAGATTATAACTGTTTGTTCTTCTACTTGTATCCATCTAATTGAAATAGTATTTCTCCTGCATGTTTACATCCACCCCAAAATTCCATGTATGCTGTTGAGAGGCTCAGCTTCCAGCTTGCTTCCACCCAACATGCCCCCATCCCGCTGCCTCAATCCCCGTTCATCTTCTAACTCTGCTATAAACACCCCATGTACCCGGCAGCGTGTTCACATGAAGTCCAGATGAGGAAAATCCAGTAAGTTCCCACTGACTCCACTATCATCAAATTAACTTAGCAGACTGCTCTGATGGGAGCGAACTTTGGTGAAGCCACATTTTGTGAGAGCCTCTTTCCCCTTGACTCGTATGGCCTTCCCTTGCCTTTTGTCTGCAGCTTCAGATAACTTTTATCTTTTTGGTTTGACAGCCATAAAAAGCCCTTTCAGTAAAACACCATGTGCTCTGCTACACTGCAGCATCCTCACCTCTGGGCCCCCCACAGTGACCCTCCCCACAAAGCAAACTGCTCCAGGCTGCTGACTGGGGCATATCTCCCTACAAGTCGCTACCACGCAGGGCCTACAGGTTGGAGAAGGGAAGGAGAGGGAGGGAGAAGGTGGATGGGGACACTTCACCCCCCTGTTTGGAGCCCAGACTGACCACAGGAGCGGTGACCCTCCTACAGCCAGCGCCGCTCTGGAGCAGGAGGGCAGGGACAAGGGGAGGTGAGTGGAGACGCCAGCTCTGCTGCGGGCACGGCAGGTCTCATCACCAGGAAACACAGCCACAGAGAGGCAGGGATGAGTGATGGCCTAAGAAAGAATGAGAAAAATTATCTGTAATTCATGCTTTAAATAGAAGAGCAATCAGTGTGCAAAGCTCTTGGAAGGAGAGGCTTACAAGAGGCAGCAGAGGCCATGCCCGTGCCAGAGCGGGTTGCCTGGCAGGCACGTGCCACTTGTCTGCTCCCAAATAAAACAGAGCCAGCTCGGATTTCTCCATGTCACCGTCCCCTCCGCTCAGCCTTGGCGGGTTGGGGTTCAGCTGAAGCAGAATGACTGACACAACATGTCAAGCAAAGTGGAGGTATTAGAGGAAGGTGTCAAACTGGCAGCTTGACTCCACATCGTTCTTTTGTGGGAAATGTTCCCAAGAGGACACCTGGGGAAGCACAACTGTCAGGGCCATTTAAGCACCTCCTGAAGTGTTCTGATAGATCAAGGCCCAAATCCTTGAGATCGGTCTCCCGCTGCTATTCTTGTTCTTAAAAAAAGCATTTGCTGGATGTCTGCAGCAGAAATGGGATCCCATTAGTTCTTACCCTAAAAACACCATGAGTCTTGATATATTAGTAAAAAGCAAAATCCATTTTACTGCATTTTATCAGAGGTTCCCAAGTGCACAAAATTAAATTTCCTTTTCTCTTTCAGAACAAACCTGCTCCTACTTCAAGCACTTTACTCCAGGAGAGAGCTCGGAGATATTTGAAGTAACCACCCAGAAAGGTAAGAATCATCCTGAAAACTTTTTCCTGCCATTGCACGAACTGAGGTGCACACAAGATGTAAGGTGATGGGGAACCTGAAATGAGGGCTCAATCCTGGCTCCACTGAACGCAGTAGAGGAATTTCTATCAGACACCACCACAAATGCTGCAAAATGTCTTGCCAGCATAAAACTAACATCACATCAGCATTATCCGTGACACTCCGAGACTTTACCATGGAAGGAAGAAGAGGTTAATAAAATCTAAATAAATAAACCTCAACCCAAAGCAGAGTCTTGACCCTGAAAAGAAGTAGAGAGGCTCTGTGGAGACCATTAGGAGTTTTATGCTTGATATTGATTTTATATGAAAGTCATGTGAAAGCCAGAGTGATCAATGGAAGGAAGGAACAGAGATCCTATAAAGACATATAGTTGGTGTTTACACAGCATGGATTTTGAAAACTGCCTTCCACAGACAAATTTCACATTTCTAGTAAGTCCCTGATAAAGCCAAATATTTTTAGCATTCAGCACGCACTGCTCTCATTCTTGCCCTCTCATTAAGAAGAAATTCCTTTCCACTTTGCCACACAACATATTTTAGTGTGGAGTAAAGGAGCTGATGATTACATTACACATATTAACCAGTCTGCTTTGTTTCCAGTAGAAATGATAATGGTAGAAAAGCCTGCACATGGCTTTTCTAAAAAAGCAATTGCCTGAGACAGGAAAGACTGGGAATTTTGCATTAATAGAAGAGCATATACCTGAGCTACCTGCTCTTGTTTATTGATATACTATTAGGTCCAGCCATCTGATCTTAAAGACATATCTGATGCCTTCTTTGTTATTTCAGGGAAAAAAAAATAAAAAAAAAAATCAGGAAGAACTTTTTCTTTAGAGTAAAAGAAAAAGCTTAAGCTACAGCAAATGATTTTACATTGAAGCTAACTGTTTTGGGCAGTTCTAGCACATAGTAAAGAAAACCAAAAAGAGAAACATCGAAGAAATTATAGTAAAATAGTGGTATGAAAAGCAGAGAGAACAAAGAGCGATATGCTTTCCATTTCACAGAAATAGCTCCATTTTGATGGGAGCTAATTAGTAACAGGCAAAAAGATTCTTCATGATTTTGCCTGGAATACACATTTTTTTAAATGGGCTGAAAGGCAAATATCATCAGATATTATGATATTCATGCATGGCTACATGTGCTAAATCTTAAACTGATATGAAAACGAATGAAATATGTAAATGAAGGCCTGAATTATTTAATTAGTGATTCTTCCCTTCCGTCCAGGCACTGAACTGTGCCTCGGCTGGGTGAAGTGTCTACTGTGCATCTTAGCTGGTTTAGCAAAAAAGCAGGATATTTTATGGAGGGTTTAATCCTATGCCCTGAAGAAGCTGAGTTTCCATAGAGCTGGAATTCTTTTTCTTAAAGAAAATATATTAAAAAAACATAAAGAGGCTGTGCAAACAGTTCACCTCTGGCCTCCTGCCTCAGTTGCCTGCTCAGATTTTGAGCCCTCTGAAGCACACAAATGTCCTGCACTGGTACAGCATCAGCACCGTGCACAGGGGCCTTGTTGAGGCCCTGCAGTACAGACCTAGCACAAAAATAGCACAGAGCTGCTTATTTACTCTGAGAGCAGAGTGTGGAGTGATGGAAGAAATGAGAGCGTGGAGCCCAGAAGCCTTCAGCAATAACATCCATGAAGCAGAGCTAAAATGGCTCCAGTCCAGAGCTTCTTCAGGCTAACACAGGTGCCATTTGGTCTTTCAGTAAGTGTTAATAAAATGATTTTCCCCTCTTCTGTTTCTATGTCCTTTGCATTCCAAAGATACTTGGCCAATATTTCCCCCTGCTTTTATTTTAGGGAAATACTGGATTCATCAGAGTCCCCTTTCTGTAGCATCAGGACACATTTTTCTCTGAGTGACCTTCTGCAAAGTCACAACCATTGATGGGAGCATGCTCAAAATCTGCAGACATTCACAATTTTTTTTTGTGTTTCCTTTGTTTTGGCAGAATACAGCATTTCAGCTGCAGCCATTGCCATCTTCAGTGTTGGCTTTGCCATCATTGGAACAATCTGCGTCCTCTTATCCTTCCAGAAGAAGAGGGACTACCTGCTGAAGCCAGCATCCATGTTCTACACCTTTGCAGGTACAAGGGTCACTTAATTGCACTTGGCTCATAGTACAATATCAAGAAACTTAGATAAACCCTGGGCGGATGGAAACACTTCTGAAAATGCCCAGAAAATGGCATTGTTTTCCTTGTTACAGTGAGACTACAAGCCCCCATGTGGAGCTCCAGTTGAAGAGTTCTGAAAATGTCCTGTTCAGCTTTACCCAGCAGCCTGTCTGTATTTTCTCCAACTACTTTTAAAATGGGCATTTCTAACACATTCAGTGCTGGCTGCAGTCACTATTCCATCTCATTTAGTCTAAGCACAATAACACATTAAGGTTCAAACCAAAGAAACAGCTGATCCAGGCCCAAGATATGCAGCTGTCTCCCAAAAATACAAAGATCACATTTTTACATGAACTATCACTTCCTTGACATGCCACAGTGACTGAAAGACAGAGGTGCAAATTGTCACCTCAATAAAACCTTTATTCTACTTTTGGAAAAGCTCCCTGAGGAATGCAATTATTCCTTCATCACTTTGAGTTTCCCATCCAAGCCTTCCTAAAAGGTAATACTCAACAAGTCACCGGCTGACTTACGTAGCCTAGGCTATAGCAGAGATCTGAGTACTTGCTGGCGTTGGTTCCTTCAAACATTCGAGTCAATGACTCACCTGTGAATCTCACTGCAATTCCTGTATGCTAAGAGGCAGATGAGGTGGTTAAGGATGAAAAATTGACAGCTGGTTATTCAACCCACTGCTCTCATCTTCCTTCAGGTCTCTGCATCATCATCTCTGTTGAAGTCATGAGACAATCTGTGAAAAGGATGATTGACAGCAAGGAGACAGTCTGGATTGAGTACAGTTACTCCTGGTCCTTTGCCTGTGCCTGTGCCTCCTTCGTCCTGCTCTTCATCTTCGGAATCGTCCTCCTCCTGATTGCGCTGCCTCGCTTCCCCCAGAACCCCTGGGAGACCTGCATGGATGCAGAACCAGAGCACTGATGTTCCCCAACCCGTGGGAAAAGCCAGAGTGTTTTGAAAAAATTTATATTTTTTAAAATGTCTTGATCTCACCATACAATGTGCACTCCGTTAACTAAGTCATGATTGAAACAAGGCTTCTTCAATTATAACTCTCGCTTTGTTGTTTTTTTGTGGTTTTGCTTTTTTTTTTTTTTTTTTTTTTTTTTTTTAGGAAAGAAGAGAGAGCATTCAGAGCACCAGTGTGGGTGAACAGCACTCTGCTCTCTTTACACCTCCACCCTGCTGGAGGCTGAGGGGCGATTTGCAATTTGTGGATGCCTTGTGCCAATGCAGCTGGGTGAAAAAGTGCACGTGAGACAACTCATGCTGCAGAGGAGACAGCATTCTTGGGGTGTGCAGTGTAGTTAGAGTTGAAGAGCTTAAGGGATACCAAGCCTTTACTCCTCACTTGTTCAGACACTCTGTGAGAAATTTCAGCTCCGTGGGAGTCCATCTCCCATCTGTGCCATACTCCTCTGCCTCCTGAGAAGGGTTAGCTCACCACCTAAATCTATTGGAGAACCTTATGCTGTTCTACTAAACTGTTAAAATAAAATAATTAAAAAAAAAAAAGACTTTGCCTAGCATTGGAATAAACATTTAACCTACTGATTTACACCCTGCAGCTCCATTCTGTTGAATTAAGCACCAAAAAAAAAAATAATGCAATTTCTGTTTAACTTTGATGGCAAAGCCAAGACATACTAAAAATTAAGAATGATATTTTCCTTTAATAAAAAGCACAATCTTCTGGTAGCATGATTTTCTGGAAAATGATTTTGATGGATGAATCATCTGGCCCATCAATTTCTGCTGGGTCCAGTATTAAGTGTAATTCTCAATGGTATTTACTGTATGTAGCGTTCATTTCTTCCTCGTGAATAGGCTTATTAAGAATACTGTGCTTTGCTCACTGCATAGGTATATAAAAATACATACAAAGAAAAATCCTGCAAAGTAGCAGACAAGAAAGAGAGGAACCAGGAGAGTCAGCCCCAAAAATACTACAGAAGTGCAATGCTATTTATGCACACTTGAACTGCCCTGCCTGAGGCATCGCGGGCGAGCGGTGCTGCCCGTGCTGCAGAGCCCCATACACCCACCTGGCCCCTCCAGCCCAGCCCGAGAGGCATCTATAGTTTTTGGTTGTTTGCAGTTCAGTTGCAGTTCAGTTTTTAGAAACTGTTCAGCATTTTCTCCTTTTTTTTTCTCCCTCAAGTAGGAAAAAGTATTTGCTTTTTTTTTTTTTACCAGATAATTTAAAAAGCAGGAGGAAAGGAAACCGAAACGTTCTTTCCCTCTGCAATTAACTGTCCTCAATTCTGAATGGAAAAAAAAAAAAGGCAGAAATCAGAACAGAAAATTTCTGGCCGTTTTATATAGATCTGAAATCATGTTGCATGCCAGCATTTTGAGAAATTGCACGGCAATCTGGAGCTGGTGTGAGGGGCTGGCCCTGCTGTGAGCCCCTGGCTCCACTGCAGCCAGCCTCAGGCACATCTCAGTTTTCCCATCAAGGAAGTGTCAGCGAGAATACAAGCCATTTGTGAAGTTGCGTGAGTATTTTTCAAGCTCTTTGAAGTTAAGAGGCACTACAAATAATGTGCATATTATAAAGTTTTGGGCTAAAGCACTCCTTGGTGTTCATATCTGGGTGCAAGCTGGAGAATTCTGCCTCTGTCTCTCATAAAGACAGACAGGTGCAAGTCTTCAAGTTGTCACTGCACCACAGTGAAATGCTAAACGGTTTTGAAATCCTATTTTTGGTACAAAGCTGACATGCCTAAACTGCACTTTCATTGTACAGGAAGACAGAGACCAGTTTCTAGGGAGATCCTTTACATGCTACCACAACAGAAAAGCAAGTTGGATCGCCTCCCGCGCTGACTGACCCGGGCTGGGATATCCAAATACACAACGTCAGATTAATGTAAGCAAAGCAGTTGGCAGACACAAAGGCATCCCCAGCTCAGCCATCACCAGCAAAACAACCTTAACTTAGATGCAATGGGTTGAAATAATTGAGGTCTGATGATACGGGTCTGAGCTTCATCACCCCACATGGACCGGTAGCATCCCCCCTGCCCCATGGACACCCTTTGTCCCCCCCCTTTTCCCATGCATCAGCTGCTTATTGCAATGCTGCTTCAGTGACAAAGTAATTTCTGGATGGTTTCTTATCCTGATGGGCCAATATGTTGCAAGGAGCTGCATACTCCCCCTAAAGATGTGACCAGTTACGTTTGATAGTCATCAGCAAGAATGCACATATTTCAGATAAACAGAGCCTGCAAGGTCTCACCTTCCCCATATGTGTCCCTTCATTCCAGGGCTGAAACACTTCATCCAAGCACCTGTGAGGGCAATGGAAAGATTCCCACTGAGTGCTGGTCTGGATTCAGAGGTTCAACAGCCCCTCAGCGCTCATTTTACCCCTGGGTCGGAGAAAATACACAGCTCCCAGCAGCGAGAGCTTACACCCACAGACAGCAATGCTGGCAGCTGAGCTAGATGCCTTCCCGAAGCTCTTAAACTCACTAAGCTTTATTTTCTGTCTGCTGTAAGTTAAGAGGGTTTTTGATCATTCACTATTTCAGTATGGTTCCTGCAAGACTGAGGAGCGTGTGGATGACTTCATTTTCCTTTTCCAGATATTAAGAAATGTGGCTGAGGGACTCGTCCATTAAATTGGTCATTGGTATTCACAGCAGGGAAGGCACTGCTCTTACAGCAGGTTTGTTCTGCCATATCCAAATCTCTCTGCCACAGAGCTGATAATGTGTTTCAAGAGAGTTAATAAAAGTAATTGGCCTTCATACAGAGAAAAAGAATAAAAATTTTGGGTGGAGGAGGAGCTGTAACAAGTCTGCATTTTCAAAGAGCAGGGCCAACAGAGCTTCGCGAATGTAGCAGGAAATCACAAAAGAAATATCCTTGCTTCAGGGAGTTATCCCAGTGGAAAGGGGATGGGAACCCAGCTGCTAAACACTTGGCAAGGGACCTGCGATGGTACCCCAAAGCCAAGGGAGGCAGCAGCCAGCATGACAGAGAAAGGGAGAGAGAGAAAACACCTCACAGACCCAGTGACTAGCACCAGCCACCACCAAAGCCTGAGCACTGGCCCTGCCATGGTCATGGGTCACTTGGGAACTGGCCATTTGCCACTCATAAAACCACCATCGCTGCCTGCCTCCTGCTCCTCACGTGACACAGCAGAGATTTTGGCTGCTCAGACCTGCCCATCACAGAGCCCAAGTGCTAAACTTGAGAGTCAGCGCGATGGAAGTCAGGAAGATTTTTGTTTGTGTAAGGGCAACGTTTGCTGTAGGCGCAAGGCTCAGAATCTGCTTCTTTTGTTTTTAAGCACTGTGTTGTGTGAATAACGTGCAGAAAAGGTGCCAGACTAACACCCCTGACGAAGGAAAGCGCCTGTTTAGCAAGCAGCCAGCTGCGCTTTCAGAGCAGCGCGGATCAGGCGAGCGGCCTAGCGCAGGCCAACGGAGCCTTCCCCAGGCTCCCGGCCTACAGGACAGGGGGCAGGCAGAGGCCTTGGTGCAAAACCCTGCGGCAGTCTGTATCTGAAAAGCACCAACCTATACAGTGTTTGCCACTTCCTTGTGATTATCACTTCTTTTCTCTCCCAGTTGTGGAAATTATTTCCAGACAGTCCCCAAGAGCTGAGAATTTCTGCCCCTAGCCCTGCAATGAGATCCGCAGCCTCGGCTCTGCTGCAGAAGGGCACCTTCTCCTGGGCTTGATCGCTCTTGAGGAACATACCGACACAAGAAGTCATCGCCATAAGCAGGGGACTGCTTGCAGGGCTGCGCCCTGCCAGATCCAGGGAAGGACCTGGAGATTAGCACCAAACTAATCCTTGGGTACAATCCAGTATGCAGTCAGACATTTGCATGCCAGAAACCTGACCAACGTGCAGAAACTGTTTATAGACTAAACCTAAACCTCATTATAAACTTCATCTAAAAGGGATGTTAGCTTCCCATGGTGAATGTTACATTGCTTTTATAACAAATGCTGGAATATTAGGCTGTTCTGTCCCATGAACTTCACACACAGAAATAGGATCTATTTTAAATGCATCTGTTCAAATTATTTCTCCTTTCCATTATCACCAAGGGGCAAGAAAAGAGCATCACAGCTTGATTTTGACCACCACATAGGACAAAAATGTTCTTAGTTTGTTGCATTTAATATATGTTCTGTCTCCGAAGAAACTATTGCTTCTTACAGCAGGTCTCTTGCGTATTTGCCCATCAGGAGACAGCAAATCTTATGGGAAACGGACTAACAACATCTTTTGCCTAGTTCTGGCTAATTCAGATTAGAGCTTTTTAAGCATGCATTGACCTCTATTGAAGTAAAAACTTTTCAACATATATCAACTGCAGTTGCCACAAACCCTGCACCCAGAATTTTCTTCCTAGTAGCTGGTGGAATGCTGTGTTTTGGCTTAGGATGAGAAGAGTGCTGATAACACCCCGATGCTTTAATTGTTGCAGAGCAGTGCTTATACTAAGCCAAGGACATCTCAGCCTTTTGCTCTGTCCTGCCAACGGGCAGGCTGGGGGTGCAGTAAGAGCTGGGAGGGGACAGACCCAGGACAGGTGACCCAAACTAGCCAAAGGGGTATTCCATACCATCTGACGTCATGCTAAACAATATATAGGGGTGGCTAGCCGGGGGGAGGGGGCCGGACTGCTCGGGGTTAGGCTGGGCATCGGTCAGCGGGTGGTGAGCAATTGCATTGTGCATCACTTGTTTGTACATACTATTACTTTCGTATTATCACCATTGTATCATTATTATTATTATTGTTATTATTATTTTTTGTTATTATTATTTTCCTGTCTTATTAAACTGTCTTTATCTCAACTCACGGGCTTCACTCTCCATTTCTCTCCCCCGTCCCACCCAGCTGACATTCCTACCACAATTGCTGTGAATCGTTTTACTCTTCTTGAATGACGGAAAAGAACTGCGTGACTCAGTCCTTGGTTCCTGACACAACCAAATAAAAAGATGCTTGAGCAAATATTGCTATCCCAGCAGAAACGGCCCATATTTCACGTTAAGGAATATGATGTACAATCTTTTTTATAGGCACCATAGATCATCACCAGCCAACTTGACAAGTTAATTGTCCACAGTTTTTCTAGGAAAACTAGAAACTTAAACAAAACAAATGAAGTGAGTTGAATGATGATATGTGTAGAGCAGGAAGCATTATGAGCTTATTGCTTTGGAAATGTGCAGATTCTGATATGCTTCACTCTAAAAAAAATTCTGTCTGGTCAAACACTGCTCTCAGTGCTACTTACAGTAGAGGTATTATACAGACAGCAAAAGAACTGCTTATAGTGCATATTCTCTGCAGAAAAACAGCTGAACTTGACAAATCTGGGAACAAAATATTAATTAATCAAAGTAGGGAATATTACTCAAGGGGGTTGTAAGGTCAGTGGAAATAGTCACATGCTGTTATGGGTCAGTAGTGCCATAGTCCATACAATTAAATATAATGGTACAAAATATACTAGATGTCAACTTCAAGGAGA